CAATAGATTTTATTTGAAGAAGAAGTTGCATAAATGATAATGTGCATCATGCTCTTACCCCATTGTTCTCAAACCGAGGAGAGCGATGAAATCAAAATTGCTTTGAGAAACTGAATTCGACGTAGTAAAGCAAGGTAAGTGACCGAGAGAGCGACGAAGTCACGATTGGTCCAGTCCCGCGGGCCGTCCCGCGGGCTATACTAGAAACCTTTTAATAGACTCTAAGACGAGGACGACTACGAGTGCGAGATTTTCCCAAGACAATTAAGCTAAAAGTATTTGACGCGCGTGAACCAGCGTCATTAGAGAACTTAAACAAAGGCGTTTTTGAACGACGCACGCCAACCGGAAGTGGACTTTCATTTTCAGTTAAATCGTCTCTACAAGTGTAAAGAAACTATGGAATCCAAATTTTATAGCGTCAAGGCATATTAAGGATCAAGTTAGGTTTCTGGGAAACTGCCCACCTACCCCTCCCCTGAGCCATCATTTTGCCCTAAGCGAGAAGTAAGTGTTAATGTTAGCTTAGGGGAGGGGTAGGTGGGCAGTTTCCCAGCCACCTAAATTGATCCCATTAAAAGGAAAAAGTCCTCACTTCCGGTTAAAGTGCGTCGTTCAAAAACGGCTTTGCTTAAAGACATGTGAAGAGAAAACGTGATAGCCGTCCTCATTCTACTTCCAGTATTAGCTAGAATGTGGTTCGTTGCTGAAACAAGTTATTCAAATGTTAGAATTTTTATTATTTTGCTTAACCTCCTTCAATTAAGCCTTAAAAGTCCTGACTTTTCTGGTGAATCAAAAGAACAATGAAGGTTTCCGGGTTGTCTATGTGTTGAGAAAATGCGTAGAAACTTTTACCTTCAGTCAAATCTCGTCTGGGCGCAGCTGGAATTGGCTGATGCATTAATAACGTAGAAACTATAGGTACTCGCAAAATCACAAAAGGGTCTTTGACAAGCTATCCCTTTAGTGGGAGAACTGCTTGATATCTCTTCTTTAACGTTTGTAGAACGAAAAAAAGTGTCTAAGGAGGGGCACCCAACGTCAATTTTCGGAACATTTGTTGTAAAATTTCTTGCTTGCCTGCCTCTCCTAGGATTTCCGAACAACTAAAAAATGGTATAATTGATCATTTTTAATGGATTTTTTACCCTAAAAAGTTCACCTGGAATTTTCGGGATCCCTTTTTCTGGCTGAAATTTTCGAAAAGGTAAGTTTTGATAATTATAATGTTTAGGGGATAAAAATATACCTGTATCTACCGTTTAAATACTAAAATACGTTTAACAATGCTATGTTTAAGTAGTTTTGGGTGCCCCTGGTACTTAGTTTAATTCAAGACCAGCTTTGACCAAAACATGTGGAACTCTTATCAAGCAATACGTTAACCCCTTAAAATCTAATCCGTTCCCCAATGATACGACCTTTTTTCATTCCAAGGTGTTTACCACTACCATTTTCCGAGTGCCAAAGTCTTTTCTGAGATACCTTTATTTCTAATTCAGCTTACCCGTTTGAATAAATCGGTTGATAGACAACCTCCCAAAGATCGTCTGCTCCGTACTGAGCCGTTCTTTGTTTCGTCACGCAACGCTCTTCCCCAAAGAGAAAGCTAATTTACATAGGAGAAAGGAAACTAGAAAAGTTAGAAAAGTTCTTTGCAGCCTTTTCGTTAAAATAGCATGCAATGAACTAGTAGTGGCAAATACGTCTTTTTTATTGCCATGAAATGATGTACGGATTCTTAAACAATTAAGAATCAGGTGAACGAAAATTAAAATTTTCGTTCACCTGATTATTTAAAGCAAAAAATATCATATATTTCGGTACAACCTAATTGTTTCAACCGCAAAGTAAATAAAATCTTTTCAAAGGCGACAATCACTTCCCTGTTCTAAAACGAAGATTTCAGTACTCACTATATTTCATGTTTACCTCAGTTTAGTAACTAAAAATAATACCAAAATTATCCAACTTTAATCGCTATTTTTTTTTTAATGTTGTAAGTGGAACGTAGAAATGAAATAACTTAATATATTTTACTTATCTAGTAAAAAAAAACCTAAACGTGGCGTGGACTTAAAAAAAAGTGCGGGTGAATAAAACATTACTATAAGCAAGCAAATTTTAACACCTGAGTGAAAATAAGATTTATCCATCCAGGCGTTTATAAGGACAAAAGAATGAGCAATGAATGAATAACTGTTTTCATCGGCTGTGCTCAAATGTTTTCTTCTAGAATTCTCGCGCGCAGTTCAATTCGCGCTCAAGTCGTTCATTTGTTTTATAAGTTATTTGATGTTTTATTTTTTCCTTAAAAGAATAATATATTGTCCCTGATCAACAAAACTGTACCTCCAAACCTTTATTTGCCAAATCAAAGCTGTAGCAAGGCAAATGGACATTTCATGGCACACAATGGCCTATCCTTATCATCGACGAACCCTGCCCAGTACTGAATTCATGGAATTCTCTCTTTCATATATTTTCTTCTATCTTTTTCAACACGATGCTTACGTCCTGAAATCTCAGCTTGTATAATTTATTCTTGGGGCGAGGAAGAAATCTGATTAAGTTTCTGTTTGATTTGTATCTGAAACGGAAACAGTTATGTGATAATAATGTACAACTTGTGTTTGGTAAGCAAATATACCCGAAGTGTAATTCTTCTCCAACTTCCTTATGTAAGAGCAAGCGTGGGGAATAAACTTTAGGCAATCACGCAGCTCTCAGGAAATTCGTCTTTATTACTTTTTTTCTAGGAGAAAGAGTAGATATTGCTCAACCATTTAGTTCACCAATTTTGTTAAAGATAAGGCTCACTACATTAAAATGTTTTTTGAAATACTTCTTATGAATGATCGCAGGAAAAAAAAATGGAAATTCTCATTAGAAATATTCAATTCGTCTAAGTTAAATGCAAATTAATAAGTTTGCGCCGGTTTCTTCATCTGAAGTTATTCATGGACTCTTTTGTTCACGGAAATTTCATTCCAAAAGGTGGCCAATTGCGGCTGAATTAATGTTTGCTGTCTCAGTAAGTTCCGAACTAAACGTAAATTCCGTGAATATTTCGAGTATTCGGCACATTTCATGATCTTTCAAAGAGTACTTACTAGGTAAGTCTGCTGGCCACTAACTGCGCTTAAAAGTCTTGTAACTCCGTGTTAGCATTAAGACAGCAGCTAGTTGGGTGTTATAACAATGATCGATAATAAGGAATGAAGGGGTTTATTAAAAAAACCGCGACTTAAGAACCTGGATTTTTCCAATTTAGCCTAAACAGGCTCTTATATAAATGGTAGTTGGCACAAGTTTAGCCTGTGTAGGTTTTTAAATAGGTTCTTATTTTCTGAAAAAAACAAAAAACAAAAAACAATATTCCTCAACATATAAAATCTGCATACCATTATAATGCAGTTGGATTGATGAGGAATCTATGTCTCCAAAGAGGATTCTGAATGTTGACTTATCTTATTTGCCCAAGTGTACAGAATTTTTTCACAGGTTTTAGAAAATAAGAACCTGTTTCAAATTTTAGCCTTAACAGGTTCTTGTATAGAGGGGGCCTAACTGGCAAGTTGTAACCTAACAGGTTCTTAAAATATATTAGGTTCTTACTGTTAGTCGCGGGGTTTAATAACTCTGTCTACTAAAATCATATTGATAGTCGATCGATGTTGACGCGAACTGGTCCCTCTGTCTTTTAATGATGGGGTTTCGACTGTTTTAGCTTGGTCGGAAGTTATACACCAAGATTTGGCCTTTTTGCTTATGGTTGTCACCGATTTAGCCACCATGATGGTGACTGGTTACGTTTCGAGCGCGAGCGCCGGTCGAGAGCGAATTGTGTTATACGATGGTTGCATAATATCTTGCATGAGCGTTTTAACTTCCTTGTAATGGTATAAAGTTGTTGTTTTTTTTGTGCAGGATCACGTCACAAATGAAGAAAAGTCCGCTCTTTTAAGCTCTAGCAAGATCAATGAGGGAGCCTTGAGAATAGTTCTAAGTGCTACTTACTATAAGCTTTGATTAAGTGGATAGAAAATAATTGCCTCAAATGGCAGAATTTCAGCCATCCCGGATACAAAAAGTAAAGGTATTAAAAGCATGGAAGGGAAAAACATTAAATCAATATTGTTAAAATGCAAAATGTGATCGCAAATACTAGGAAAGGCACATTGATTCAATGTGATCTCGAGAGTCAATAACATTTTGAAAAAATCTTTTTTGTCTCCTGAATATTCTTACTTTTGTGTACATATTAATAGCAATTCAGTTACTAGCCACAAAGAAACTTGGAATAACAGTTTTAAACAAAATAGAGAGTATCAGAGAAAATAGTCAAGACAAATTAATGCAAAATCTTCGGTGATGATATAATGATACCCCCTAAAATCTCGTTTCGCGTAAGAGTCAGAATTCGCGCACAACTCGACACCAACATAAGGAAAATTTCACAGGAGAGAATAATACCGTCTGGTTATCCCCCGTTTATTTCAATCCTCAAATTGTGCAAGAAATCAATTTCATTATTTGTCAAGTTTCTGCTCAAAGTTGACGTGCTGAAATAGGCTAGTGGCGGGGTTCTAATTTAGTGTTATGCGGAAGTCAGCTTTGGTCAGGGTACTCTTTCTCCTGTTTGTAAGATAAAAAAGACGAAGCTCCTAGCAAGATTTTTATAGAGGTTTAGGACGCTTACATGGTGTTTAATATCTCAGAAAACGACGCCCGCTCGCTATTTTTAATAATATTTTTATATTTTTATAATAATGGCTTCCGCTGTTTTAAATACGAAATAAAACTTGTTGAGCTGAAACATACGAAATATGCTTACACCAGGAAGTAGAAGCAGTGTCCGAAAAATTTTCAAGTTTTGTCAACACAATGGCCAGGCTTGCATAAAAGAAGCTGCTCTGCACACTAGCTGCATCATTCGACTGAGGATCTCTTGAGGAATCAAAATAAGAAAGAGTCGACATTTTATTATTATCACGATGGCTCGATTGATGCTGTTACTTTTGGTGATCGCCCCTTTGATTCTTACCTCTAAAGCTGAAAGTGGACAAAGGGTAATTCAGTTTAAAATATTGCGTTTTCACCAAGACAGTTTTTACTTTAACTCTCCCGAAGTTGAATGTGGTGCCGTTGATTTTCGCGCTTAATATTTTATTCTATGGTGTATTATGGGCTATCGATGCTTACGCTTTTTTCACACGGAGGTCACAGATCGAGGTCGAAAATTTGACTGGCGTGGTGTGAACACCATGGCCGTTGAAATTCTTGTACGGCAAAGGCGTGGTTGCATGGATGAGTGGTTATTCAGCTGGGAGACGCCAGGCGGATGGTACAACCATCGTAGAAATTAGAATTCGATCCGGTTTGTCATTTTTATGTGAACAGAGCGAAAATTTTGAACGGTTCCGCGTGAACGAGATTTTTAGCGGGTTACACAATTGTCCGATGCCGTGATGTGATCGCTAAAGAACAAGTGTCTGACAGCCACGCATTATGCCTAGGGCTTATTGAATAAAAAGGTAAGAATCTCATTCACGTGTCCTGACTAAAGAGACCCGTATTTATATGGCCATTTACATAATAATATATATAGCGAAGTTACTCATTTGTCTATAGTCAGTTATTAAATACATTAATAAAAAAATGTGGTACCACTTCTTATTTACATGTGTATTCGTAGGCATATACATTCAAGTTATCCAAAGATAAGTACGAAAGCATCAAAGTCGATGCTAACAAGAACTCAGAGACTTTCTCTTTGCGTCAAGCTTCGTCGGGCAAGAAGGAAGGAGACTATGTCTACGACTTCAACAAGGTCAGTAAGTAACATAAAAGGTCAAACCAATCAACTGAATTTAATCTAAATCTGGAGTCTTCTTTTTTTCTATTTCTGTTTAAAACTTGAAATTATTTCTAATGCGATCTAGTCAAACCTTAGTTTCTCTGACTTTCGGTCTTTATAACGTTAAGATAAAAGGCGGATATGAAATGCGAAATTATCACTGTGCAGTTTTTCGGAAACGACGTCTCTAAAATGGACATAAAACGCCATTTTTCTATGGTTTCTGACCAAGAGAAGATAAAGGGGAAAGAGAAGGCATACCCCATACACACCCTATTCCATGGGTAGTTCGTCTCGACTTATTTTTAAGACCACAGATCCCAAGGATCCACAGATCCACGTAGCGCGCGAGGTAACTTTATCCCGATTCTAAAAATAACTCGAGAAGGATTACCTATGGAATAGGGTGCGTATGGGGGATGCCTTCTCTGTCCCCTTTATCCTCTCTTGTTTCTGACAGAACATAAAGCAAGAGGACCAAAACTATATACAAGATGATATAAAAGAGCCTCTTGATTTCTTATCGATTAGCCTGTATAATAATTATAAGTTACGATTGGAGTTTTCATAAAATAAGTCGACGCCGAAAGAGATATAGTTGACCACGGCACTAAGCAAGCAAAGAAAAATTAGAAGCCTAATCTGGGACTCTCACTTTTGTTCAGTTGGTTTGATTCAAAATGATAAACTAAAAAGGTAACTTTGATAAAATTACCTATTAGACAATCACGTTCTTTTTATTTATTTATTTTTTATTTATTTTTTATTTCTTTCTTCACTATCCTTTTGTATCTATTGATCCTTGCTTTGTATTGGCTTAACTTTACTGCAGAACTTGACGATGATTCGATTGCCAGAAGCAAACGGCTGCTTTTTAAGATACTCCATCGGAAACGTTCCTCGACCTGCTGACTTGCTGAAACTACTTCAGTTGGTACGTGTCTGATGATCTAAAACAAACGACGTTTAAATTAGCGTCAGGCTAATTTTTAATGTACGAGTTTTTAACTTAAGTTCCTATAATACATGCAGCAATCAATATCGGAAAAAAAGGACTTAATTGAGGCCAATTAGGCCTGTAATCATACGCGATACGAATGATTAAGCAAAATCAGGCGGGCCATTTAAGGAGTATCCGATTCGTCTAATTATAACACCAGCTGATTACAGAGAGAATTTAATAACACGAACTTCCTCAACAGTTAATCATAACTTAACGAAAATGACAGTGCAAAGAGAAGAACACACTTTAAGTTTTAATGTCTTTTTTATATATATCTAAGGAGACAAGATCCACCCAATCGGTTTTTGGCCACAATTAAGATAAAAGAACCCATTTGAGTCCAATCTCGTCAAATGTCAGCGCTATCATTAGTTTTTAACAGTTACTGCATGATGTCTTTTTTTACCATCCAGTTACACGTTCTGTCCTTTTAGTAATTACTAAATCAGGTTACCACTAGCTAATTACACTGGAGAGATTTGTTTAAAGTATTTGTTTATTTATTTATTTCAGTTACTAATTTCTTTATTTATTCATTCTAAGTTCTACCTGGAATTTTGATGACCCTGGCAACCTATTGATAATTCCACTCGAAATTATTCATTAATTTTTTCACTCTGGTTTACACAATTCACAGATGCAGAGGAGTGCAGATTCTAAAGCGACCACTGAGTCAGAGGAGAATTTCAAGGCTGTTGGTAAGCTGAGTGACCGTTCGGGCTTGAGTGACGAGATGAAGGATCTGTGTGCAGAGTTGCCAATTTACCGAATCCGGAAGATAAATGAGAAACAGAATGACGCTGATCAGATGGAAGATCCAATAATGGGTGCAAACGATTTAGTAGATGTAGTAAAAGAAGGGGTTAAAGGTAAGGTTGTAGAAGCTATAACAATTATACAATTGTCTCATGTTTTAACTGGTGAAAGGATTGATCAACTAAAAGGCAACATTTGTAGGCCCTGCAAATGTATAACTAAGAGAGAACCAAAGGCATCATATCTTCTTTTTGTATGAAGACCCTTTTATACCAAGAAACCCGTTTAATTTAAACCAGATTTAACAAAAAAGAAACCTGAAAAAAAAATCCATAGTTTTTATCAGTCTAAGCTTTGTGTTTTTAATTTCAAACAATGGCGCCGTCCACACCCATATTCCAGGAAGGCCGAAACCGCATCCTGCCCCATGCTGCTGTTATATTTGCGTCCGCACGAATTCTCTGTGTTGCTGTTTCAGGTTTGGATTCACCCATCCACAAGAAAACGCTACTACAATTTACATTTGCTAACTACCAATTTTTTCCCCACTCTTCCTCGATGGCCAGGCCTGCCTTTATGTTTACAATTACTAGGCAAGGCTGATCGGACATTTATAAATACAAATCATTTGCCCAATATTTCTCCGGTTAGGCAAAAATAACCTTGATTGGTGCTTACATTACAAGGATGTTACAGTTCTGCCTATAGATAATTGTTCCATCAGGCACTTATAAACCCTGAACGAACCCAAAATTGGCTCTGAACAAATCCAAAATCGGCTGTCACGATGCAGACAACGAGTTGAAAAACAAATTGTTGTCTACCACTTTGAATTTGAAAAAAACAAAAATTTAGTTTGAAATCGAAAATATCTGGTTTCTGATCGTCTAATATACAAATCGGATTTAAAAAGATTGCGATTTTTAATAGATGCGGTTTCGACGAGGGGATTCACTGGTTTCGTGTGGCCGATTCGTGTAAAAAAAAAAATGTGTTTTCAAAAGTCGTATCAACTCTATGTACCAGGGTATAATTTACTTCAATACAGTTTGGGTTACCCTTTATCTATCAGTAAACATTGCAATGACTATACTTACTGTAAAAGAACAACGCACCTCAGTAGAGATAAAAATTCACACGTCTAAAGTCTAAAAACTACTACCCTACCTCAAAGCCCTTTGTTAGGTTTGCATTTAAATAACCTGAAAAAGTGTATAACTCCCCTACCATTTGTACCTATAGGTTACGTAAGGAAAAGGGTGTGCAAACGAGTTTGTAGAGACGTGCCCAAATGCGTCAATGTCCCAAAGGTTAGCTGCAGTTGGAGAGGCTGTAAAACTTCTTGGCACCGAAATTGCTGGATCGTAAAGACCGTATGCCCGTTGGCCTGCACATATGTTATGGTCAAAGCTGGCTAAAGCATGCTCTTACACATTTATCTCAACAAGTGGCCGCGTAGAGTGAAACGTAAATATATTAATTAAGGTTCAGAAAAATTTATGCCCTGTGGACAGTTAGGCTAAGGTATTTGCCTCGGCAAATATTATCAAGAAGATCTTTTGGCTTACGGTACTCGGAAACGACTTTCAAGATGTAAGAGGACTCACGGGGTCTTAAATAATAGCACTATAATTTAAGGGGACTTTTGGAATAAAAATAAAGGGAAATGCCACTTCATGCATGCATAAAGGCCTCAGTGTGTTATTAACGCGTGTTAAAGAGGGACGTGCCAAGGGTATTTCCCGGCGCCCGTTTCATTGATCTGAAATTGGATAGTGTACATTGTATGACCGTAAGGTAGGGGTTATTTCCTTTCCTAAGTGAGCTAGCCTCTACAGCTGGGCACAAATTAGGGTTGATACGAAAGTAGACTTGCAAAAACACTCCTTCGTCGTATTTAGTACTGCTCCCCGTCCTTGGGACAACCTTTCGGGACAAACAGTCACGTGGTACTGTTCATGTGCAGTAGCATTTTTATCTGTCGTCGTAATCTGTGGTCGTCGCATCTTAGCCCTATTCAAACCGGGACTGTCTTTTTTTTTTTTGCTTTATGCAACCGGGATGAGGGAGGGACAGGGGGGCAGGGGGAGGGGCTTCGGAGGCCCTCCTTATGACTTCAAAACCGCCCATGATACGAGCATCCAAATCACACAGAGTAATTTACTCATCATTTCCAACATCTAGGCATAACTTGATTGACACCATGACGTAATTTGATGTCATTAAAACGTCATATTATTGAATTTATTGGCAAAATTCAAATTTCTCTCAAAGTGGCTATAAAGCGAAAATACATTTAAAAATTGAGGTGTCTGATAATATCAAGAAGTTAGCTAGATCATTAATGATCTTTTAAATTAGCTATGATGTCATGATGACGTCATTTATTACGTAAATCTGAAACCATCTGCCATCTTGGATCCGCCATTTTGATTTACTTAAATGTATCCCAGTATAAATCGAGGTAATCGTGATAGAAAATTTCATCTGCGTATAATAGGATGCTTAGGAAGCAAACAAAAATTTGCAAGTTATCAAACTCCGGAGAAATGATCGCTGTTGACAACTTCTTCCCCACCTCCCCCACCCCCGGGCATTTGACTGGAGTTTTGCTCCGTACAGTGGGGAATTTGAATATAAAGGTTCCGTAACTGATTCTCAGACTCGGTTGTTAGTAAAACGCGGACTAGGGGTCGGGATCGGAGCCGGGATCGGAGCCGCTTAACTGACAGAGGACCGATAACATCAGGATCACAATCACTTGGACGGGCATATTCCACTTACAGCGGATGAACCTCTCCACAATGGCCACCTTGGGGACAGAACAAAGTGGCCTTTATGGAGAGGTGGTCGTTATGGGGAAGGGGGGGAGGGGTAGGAGTGTATGACACCTGATTTTTCAGGAGGAGGGTGGGGGTAGTGTTTAGAGTGCCAAGCTCATGATCACCATACCCATACCCATAAAACTTGAATACTGTATGTTGCCCAATATCCGGCCGGCACCAAAATGCGGCCACTTAAAACAAAAACTCAATTTTTGAGGCGCCCTTTTCAGTTCTCGGTAAACGGAGTATTTCGCATGAAAGCTGAACATTTCAGCTTTAAGATGAAAGTTTTTGCGAGTTTACAGCTTGCAAAACAGTTGCAGAAGGTGCCGTTCTGTTCAGGTGAGTAAACTTTCCATGGCTAATATTTACGCTGTTTACTGTGCAGCAAAACTAGTGCTGTTCCGAAATGGGTTGGTAATATGTGATATTTTCAAAGAAACTGTTTTATATTTATAGTGAAGATATTTAAAGAAGACAGGTTCTCACAAAATTTATCAATTCTTCTTGAAATTTGATTTGTTTGGAATAACGGAGACCAGAAACATTCACTAAGTATTGATGTTACGTGCCCAGTATCCGGCCAGTTTTTTCTTTATTGCTGTACAGAATCGATAAATTAGCGGTGTACATTTTCCGGATAAGATTTATTTCATATCTAATATATAGATTTAGCCAGGGCTAAAAGCGAAGCTCTCGATAATATTTATAGTTTGCTCAAACAAAATATAAAATCATGTTATGCTAAGCGGCGAACGCAACGAGAACCTTACGGTGAAAAAACAATAATAGGTCTAATTAGTGAAAAAGCAACTTAATTTGCACGCGCAGCCGTTGTTTTGCACGACTACAATGTGAAGTGAAAATTCCAAAAAATTCCTAGCTGCACGTTTTATGGAGGGAATGTCGTAGGTGTTGTTGTTGTTGTTTTTTTTTTTTTCACAAGCGCTCATTTTCACCTTAGTGGTGGCTAGCATTTCTCATTTTCTCATCGTCACTGCAAAATTTTCATGTTGTTTTTCCAACAAAAAATGTCTCCTTTGTTTTTTTTTTATAACATTCACTAGGTATTGATGTCAGGTGCCCAGTATCCGGCCAGTTTTTTCTTTATTGCTGTACAGAATCGATAAATTAGCTGAGTACATTTTCCGGATAAGATTTATTTCATATCTAATATATAGATTTAGCCAGGGCTAAAAGCTAAGCTCTCGATAATATTTATAGTTTGCTAAAAAAAAAAATATAAAATCATGTTATGCTAAGCGGCGAAGGCAACGAGAACCTTACGGTGAAAAAACAACAATAGGTCTAATGAACAAAAAAACAACTTTGCACGCGCAGCACACTTTTTTTGTACATTTCTTTGCCGTTGTTTTGCAAGACCACAATGTGAAGTGAAAATTCCGAAACATTCCTAGCTACACGTTTTATGGAGGAAATGTCGTACGTGTTCTTGTGTTTTGTTTTTTTTTCTTTTTCACTGCCGCTCATTTTCACCTTACGGGCCGCTAGCATTTCTCATTTTCTCATCACCACTTCAAAATTTTCATGTTGTTTTTCCAGCAAAAAACAAAAAATGTCTCCTTTTTTTTATCTCAAGCTCAAGCTCTCTGTCGCTCTTTTCTCCGATGAGCTTCGCTGGCCTGCCGCCTACTTTCTCCTTTTCTCTGTATTTCTCTTTCTTTTTTTTTTGTCTCTCTCCATGTTCCAAATTTGTGGCCATGACAATTAATTTAAGCTTAATATTTTGATAACAGGGATGCAGAAACAATTTCCGCTTTCGTCTTAATTGACACTTTAGTTGTCTCTGCTTCACAAGACGTGGCTGGCTATGCGATTTCAAGCCAAAATAACCGAGAGTTGCATTTGGGTTACCATACCTGTTGATTAAGTTATTTTGCATTGGTATGCCTGTGCTGCGGACGGAAGGACTGTCTGACGTACAGTCACGTGGTCACCAAAATGCTCATTGACAAGACAAAATAAACGAGGTCCGCAACATTCGCTATAAGTAGTGTGAACAGGGAAGAAAGATGACTTTTTTGCGCTCATTTGTATGCGCCGGATAGAAATCGCTAAAATAGAGCAATTCCGACAAACTAAAATTCATACTTGGCAGCGAGGCTTGGGGGAATAAAACAAAAGAAATCATCGTGAGGCTCTGTAATAAATAATACATTTCTTTAATTTGTTTTATTCCCCCAAGCCTGAAAAAGTACGGGTTTTCTAAAATGGGTGCAACGACTTCATAACAAATGAATTCTTGACTGATTTAAAGAAAACTTGCGAGTGCTGCAAGGTGCTTTTGAATTTATTTAACGTAAATACACCAAGAAATAAGTTCTTAATAGCGCTACCCAGTCCAGACAAGAATGGTAGTGATGATTCGTGTAAGAATATAGTAATCCATGGCCATCAAATGCACCTTGAAAGCTTTGGAGTCACAGGGTGCCTACTATTTACGCAAACCACCAGGGTGAAAATCTTGTGCATAAACAGAACACTATAAAATTTGACGTGGTGGGAGAACGACTAGCTACAAAGTACATCCAGATCAGCTGAATAGAGTGTTTTCAAATGACGTTACGGTGTCCCAAAAAAATTAAACGGCGGCCATGTTGGTGTCCCAAACAAATCCTGTGGGAGTTGAACTTTTTTTGTACGCAAACGCTTTCTTTTGTTTTAATAAATTTGCATAGATTCTGGCCACGTGAGTGAAAACGCTCTATAGACAAGGCCTGTTTACATGAAGGTGGAAGACCCCAGGTAAGTGAGGTAACCCGTCTAAGTGGGGTAACTGGCCTGTCCATATAATATCTCAGTTTGATGTGATCACGTTTACCTGAGGTCACCCACCTTCATGTAAACAGGCCCTAAAGAGAGTAGAAAAGTTGCATCGCTTTAAATCACAGTCCATATTTTCTGAAGCTTTTCAAACGGAATGGCGCTTACTATCCCGAATCCGAATTTCTGGTTTTCTTATGCAAATGTCAAGTACCCATACTCTTTCACCTCATGCGCGAAATTAGACGCCTGCGAATAAAAATCCCTGCGAAATTTAAACACGCGAAATTTCATATCTATGTAGAAAATTCAAATAACAGAAAAAATAATGATCAACGTGTAATTTTAACAACTGAATTTTCGCCAACGCTCTGGCAAATGTTTGCGCCAAATGCGTCGTTTCCGCAGGATTTGCCATTTTTGTCAAATTTGACCTTTTCGCCAATCATTGAAGCAACTGGGCACCTCTTTAACATTTCATTTGAATTTTCACCAACCCTCCGTCGAATTTTTGCAAGATTGGCTTTTTTGCCGTTGGGTGCATTTCTGGACATAAGTGGATTTCTCAGTTCTTTTATGACCCTGAGTAATGGTCCAACCCTGGGAATCGAACCCACGGCCTATTGCTGGTTTGCACGTGACGCCTCGGTGCCTAATGTGGTCAAGAAGAAAAGTGTCCTTCTCCCCTGAGAACTAAAAAAATTCTACTAATCGCCAAGGTGACCACCTTGTCACATGACTGCAAACCAAGAATAAGAACGTCTGCGTGGGGGGCTAGAAATTCAGAAAAGGAAATCAATTCTACATGGGTTCGAATTAATGCGAGGCTTGAATTAGAGAGGATTCGAGTTATCGAGAATGGACTAGCTGTACACTTTGTTGAAAGTTTTTTTTTTCTTTTCCTTTCCTCCTGCCGAGCCGTCAGGTCAGGACAATACAATAGATTTTCCTTGAAGAAGAAGTTGCATAAATGATAATGTGCAACATGTTCTTACCCCATTGTTCTCAAACGGAGGAGAGCGATGAAATCAAAATTGTTTTGGGAAACTGAATTCGACGTAGCTGTAAAGAAAGGGAAGTGACCTAGAGAGTGACGAAGTCACGATTGGTCTGTCCCGCGGGCCGTCCCGCGGGCTATGCTAGAGACCTTTTAAAGAGACTCTAAGACAAGGACGACTACGAGGGCGAGATTTTCCCAAGACAATTAAGGTTTTTGACGCGCGTGAACCAGCGTCATTAGAGAACTTAAACAAAGGCGTTTTTGAACGACGCACGCCAACCGGAAGTGGACTTTCATTTTCAGTTAAATCGTCCCTACAAGTGTAAAGGTCAAGTAATACGGGCAACACTTTCGCACAACTTGTCGCGAAACATTGTTGCGTTGCAAGTTGAAAAGCGTTGTTGCCCGTATTACCACCCTCGCTCTCAACTTGTCACGCAACAAATTTCGATGTTGTAAGTTGTGGCAATATGTTGCGCAAAGTAGACCTGAGTTCTACTTTTTGCAACAAACTTTCAATTTTATCATTTGCATCACAACTTGCTACACTTCACAACACTTGTGATTGGTCAATTTTCCCGCACCAAAAACGCGGGAAAGATGGTGAGTAAGCGCGCACTTGACCTCGGGCATTTCCGATTTGGGCAGGAAGTAAACATGGCCGAGGTTGTGGAGGTTTAGAACGTTGAGACCCAAGATTATGAATTTATTAGTGAAAATGTCAGAGGCCCAAAGAAAAGATTTGTGCAAAGAACTTGAAAAGCACTCACGTCTGTGGGAAACTTGTGGACCAGAGTATTAAAACAAGCCACGGAGGTCAAGAGCTCTGGATTCATGAGTTATATAAAAAATTTAACATTTCACTTGACTGTCGTAAAAAACAACTACATAGCCTTAGAACTGCATTGACAAAGGAAGTACAAAAAGAAAACACAGAAGGTCATCAAGCCAATTTGTTTGGTGACACAAAAACACACTGTTGACCAATCACAATGCATGATTTTCTTTAAGAGCCGCAACTTGCAACATCGAAACTTATTGAGTTGAGGGCGACGATGGTAATACGGGCAACAGCCCTTTTCAACTTGCAACGCAACAATGTTGCGAGATAAGTTGTGCGAAAATGTTGCCCGTATTACTTGACCTTAAAGAAACTATGCAATCCAAATTTTATAGCGTCAAGGCATATTAAAAACTGCCCACCTACCCCTCCCCTAAGCCATCATTTTGTTCTAAGCGAGAAGTAGGTAATGTTAGCTTAGGGGAGGGGTAGGTGGGCAGTTTCCCAGCCTCCTAAATTGATCCCATATTAAAAGGAAGAAGTCCTCACTTCCGGTTGAAGTGCGTCGTTCAAAAACGCCTTTGCTTAAAGACAGGGGCACCCAACGACAATTTTTGGAAAATATATGTTCGGAAGACGATTTGAGATCTAGAATTTTCGGAATATTTGCTCTTATATTTCTTGCTTGCCTGCCTCTCCTAGGTTTTTCGAACCCCCCAAAAATGGTATAATTGCCCATTTTTAACAGATTTTCATCCTTAAAAAGGTCACCTAGAATTTTCGAGATCCTTTTTTCTGGCTGAAATTTTCGAAAAGGTAAGTTTTGATCCCTATAATTTTCCGATCACTAGACTTTCAGCAAGGAAATCCGTACAGATGAAAATTTTTAGCGGATAGAAATATGCCTATATCTACCGTTTAAATACTAAAATACGTTCAACAATGCTATTTTTAAGTGGTTTTGAACTATATTCTCATTGGGTGCCCCTGTAAACAGGAAACGTGATAGCCGTCCTCGTTCTACTTCCAGTTTTAGCGAGAATGTGGTTCGTGGCGGAAACAAGTTATTTCAATGTTAGAATTTTTATTATTTTGCTTAACCACCTTCAATTCGCCTTAAAAGTGCTGACTTTTCTGGTGAATCAAAAAAAACAATGAAGGTTTTCGGGTTGTCTATGTGTTGAGAAAATGCGTAAAAACTTTCAGCTTCAGTCAAATCTCGTACTCGAACTCTTTCTCTTTCTCGAATCATAAGGTCTCTCAAATATAATACGACAAAGGAAATTTTCTGTCGCAATTTTTGCCCAGCTGTAGAGGCCAGTTCATGAGGAAAGGTTATAACCCTTACCTTATAACACCATAAAAGAAAAAACACTGGTTATACATTATCCAGTTTTATATCAATGAAAGGGGCGCAAGGTAATACCCTTTAACACGCCCCTGTTCACCACGTCTAAAAAAGCAACAACAGACGGAGACGTGAATGCATGCAAAAAGTGGCATTTACCTTTATTTTTTTACTTAAAATTCCTTCTTACATTATAGTCACTGTGATATTGTTTACAACCAGTAAGTTCTCAGTTCACATCCTACTCATCCTGAAAATCGCGTCAGAGCACCGTCGTCTGATGATCTTCTTGACAACGTCTCTAGTATGCAAATAACCACAGGGTATAAATGTATCTAAAACTTTATATCTTAACGCTTTACTTTACGAGGCCACTTATTGAGATAATCGTGTAAAAACATGCTTTACCCAGTGGTCCAAACCCAGGAGCAGGCACGCGGGCATATGGTTACGGTCCAACATTTTCGACGCCAATAAGTCTTACAGCCTCTCCAACTGCATCTTATCCATGGGACTCTGATGCATTTGCGGAAACGCCTACAGATTCGTTTGCACACCCATTTCCTGATGAAACCTATAGGTACAAATTAGAGATTATTTAAATGCGAAGCTGACAAGCTGCTTCAAGGTCGGGTAGTCAGTCGTTATAAAGACAGACGCGTCCATTCTTTAATTCCTCTGAGAGGCATGGTTGTACAGTTAGTGGCTCATAGGTAATTAAAGGACAACCACTAAAACTTTATTGAATTAGGTCATACTCTGGTACAAAATGTTAATTCGACGTTTTGTGTTCCACACACTTTTAACCACAAGAAAACCTGTTTAGGGCCCCGTCAACCTGAAGTCCGGATATTTTTGAAAAGGCATTTTTTTCTATACGAGTCGGCCCTACCAAACCAATCCCTCTGCCGAAACCGCATCTTTTAAGAATCGTTCTCTCCCTCAATCTTCTCTTTTTTTTATCTGATTCGTATATTAGACGATTGAAAACTGTATATTTCTAATGTCAATTACGTCAAAAACTGGAGTTTAGGCTAAAAAAGAGAAGTTGCAAGTTTAAAGTCGGGTTGTGGAAAACAACTTATCGGTTTTTCGACTCTTTTTCGGCCTCGTGCAAGACGATTTTGGGTTCGTCGAAAGCTTACAAGTGACTAGTAGGACATCACACAGGCAGAACTGTGGAGCTGATCAAGGTTGCTTTTTTTCGCCTGAATATTGGGCAAACGAATTATCCATCCATGCTGTCCGATCAGCCTTTGCCAGTAAGTTTAATTTTAAACATATAGGAAGGCCTGGCCATCAATTGAAGAAGAGTGGCAACTTATTAGTTAGCAAATGTTGATTGAAGTAGCGTATTCTTGTCGCTGGGTGAATCCAACCAAACCGGGAACAACCAAACTGAATGGACGCAAATATTAGTATGCATTTTCCCCCTGCCTAGGTCAACAGGTGTGGATTGGCTTAAAACTATAGAAAATTTATTAATAAATGCTTCTTATTTTATTAGATCCGTTGTAAATTTAAAATATTTTCGGTATAGGGTTCTTTCAAGAAAGTTAAGATGCCAAATGTTTCGTTGTTATAATATTATTATTTTTGTAAGGCCATCCAAACGTTTCATGCAGTTGAAAGCGATCTGTTATAGATTTTTAAGGATTGTTATAACTTCTGCGAGAACGTTATTTCCATTTAATCATTTTATTACCTCTAGCCACCCTTTCTGGTGCATCTAGTTCGTCGGACTGCTGCACATTGTCTTCAGTTTCATCAGCGTCATTCTGTTTCTCGTCCAATTTCCGGATTCGGTAAATTGGCAACTTTGCACATAGATCCTTCATCTCGTCGCTCAAGTCCGAACGGTCACTCAGTTTGCCAACAACCTTGAAATTTTCCTCAGACGTAGTGGTCACTTTAGAATCTGTACTTTTCGGCACCTACAGATAATAAAAACCAGCGTGAAAAATAAAACTTCGAGTGGAACAATTATCAAAAGGTTACACGGATAAGCAGGTTCCATGTCCTTATAACAGTAAAATAAATAAATAAATAACTTCAACGAATCTCTCCAATGTGATTGGTAACCATGATTATGAACAATTATTGGATGTGATGATATCCTGAGTACTCAATTAAGTCAAGATAAGTGTTATCAACCGAGCCGAAGGCCGAGACTGATAACACTTACCGAGTCCTTGATTATTCCGGATATCACAGAAACGGAATCTTGAAGGAAATAAACTCACAGTTTGATATTGCTCTTACTAATCATGCAACCTACAGTTTAGTTAAAAAAATCGTGCATCAAGAGGTAATTCAGCAAGAAACTAATTTTAACGACGTTTGTCATAGGTCCTCAGACACTTACCAATTGTAATTGTTTCAGCAAGTCAGCAGGTCGAGGAACGTTCCCGATGGAGTACCTTAAAAAGCAGGCCTTTGCCTTTGGCAATCGAATCATCGTCAAGTTCTGCAGTAAAGTCAAGCCAATGCGAATTAAGGATCAATAGACAAATAAGTAATTGTATTGAATATTAAAGTAATAGTTTAAAGCTGCAATTTTTTATTTCGCTGTTCAATACCCTGGTAGCGAACTGTTATTACAGGATATAGGCTAATCAAGAGATTTCTTTGTAGTGGAGTTCCACTATAGCGCTCCCGAGCGGAGCGCCGTAGCTGAGTAACTTTGGTTATCTATCCATCCGAAAAGTTTGAGTAGTCAAGTGACTGTCCGTCCGTCCGTCCGTCCGTCCGCGCCAGAGGACAACCAATTGAAATCTCACACTTTATAGCTAGTGTGGGAACGTGTGACCTGATATTGCACATCCATGTGGTGATCAATTGACAGCTGTCAAAAACAGGGTATCCGCTGATTAGTATCGTATTGCGGGCTCAGATATCGACCTATCGAGGTTGCATGTTTTATCTGCTGATAAGTTACCAGCTTTCAACTGGTCGCAGGCTCAACTCCAAGTGGATTTCTTTGCAATATATGTAGTTATAAGTTTATTGTTTGAAGTAAATTATAAATTTATTAACGCGAACTCGGCCTTAAGCCTTGGCAAAATGTATATATTATTCTCTTGCTTTTAAGCACTCCCTATAGTTTTGGCCATACACTGATGAGCAGTTTAAAAAGTTTTGGAGAAAGGTCCTGGAATGGTTTCTGCACCGACAGTAATCTTATTTTGATGCGAAAAAGAGATTATATTTCCGTCAGAAACAGAAAAAAGTAGTGTTTTATGGCCATTTCAGAGACGTTTTCGCAAAACTGTGAAATGTTAATTTCGGATTGTTAGCCTTACATTTTCAAGCTTTTAAANTCTGCAGTAAAGTCAAGCCAATACGAATTAACGATCAATAGACAAATAAGTAATTATATTGAATATTAAAGTAATAGTTTAAAGCTGCAATTTTTTATTTCGCTGTTCAGTACCCTGGTAGCAAACTGTTATTACAGGATATAGGCTAATCAAGAGATTTCTTTGTAGTGGAGTTCCACTATAGCGCTCCCGAGCGGAGCGCCGTAGCTAAGTAACTTTGGTTATCTATCCATCCGAAAAGTTTGAGTAGTCACGTGACTGTCCGTCCGTCCGTCCGCGCCAGAGGACAACCAATTTGAAATCTCACACTTTATGGCTAGTGTGGGAACGTGTGACCTGATATTGCACATCCATGTGGTGATCAATTGACAGCTGTCAAAAACAGGGTATCCGCTGATCAGTACCGTATCGCGGGCTCAGATATCGACCTATCGAGGTTGCATGTTTTATCTGCTGATAAGTTACCAGCTTTCAACTGATCGCGGGCTCAAATCCAAGTGGATTTCTTTACAATACAAGTAGTTACAAGTTTATTGTTTGAAGTAAATTATAAATTTATAAACGCGAGCTTGGCCTTAAGCCTTGGCATAATGTATATATTATTCTCTTGCTTTTAAGCAGTCCCTATAGTTTTGGTCATACACTGATGAGCGTTTGAAAAGTTTTGGAGAAAGGTCCTGGAATGGTTTCTGCACCGACAGTAATCTTATTTTGATGCGAAAAAGAGATTATATTTCCGTCAGAAACAGAAAAAAGTAGTGTTTTATGGCCATTTCAGAGACGTTTTCGCAAAACTGTGAAATGTTAATTTCGGATTGTTAGCCTTACATTTTCAAGCTTTTAAACCAAAAAGTCAGAGAAAGAAATTATTTCAATCGCATTAAAAAAATGATTTCAGTTCTTTGACAAAACAAAGAATCACCAGCTCCAAATTTAGATCAGTTTGACTTGTTTGATCTCATGTTTATGTTAGTTACTGACCTTGTTAAAGTCGTAGACACAGTCTCCTTCCTTCTTGCCCGACGACGCAAGACTCAGAGAAAAGGTCTCAGATTCCTTGTTAGCATCAACTTTGATACTCTCGTACATATCTTTGGATACCTTGAATGTATAGGCCTGCGAAAAACACACGTATAATAAATTGATTAAAATGAGTACCTTGGTCAGTAGTATTTACCACCAATACGTCAGAGTCATTTCTTTTGCCAAAGTGTAAATGGATACCCTACTTTTCAATTCAAAACATAAGGCACTAAAACTGAACTTGAAAATGAGATCCTTAGCCTCTTACTCGCCTTATAATAAACCCTTTGGTGGCATAACAATTAGATGTGCGTGGTTGACAAAAACTCGGTCATTAAGCGTCGATAGTGCAGTCCAAACAGGCCGCAGGATAAAATGTTTAGCGGGAACGTAAACGCCATGGCGGTTTTTGAGACTGAAAGGTCACCTTAAGGTCTCTCGGTGAAAACGTAACGCAATATTTTCTTACCTTTTGCCCACTGTCCGCGTATGAGGCAAGAATCAATTGGGCGATCAGCAAAAGTAGCAGCATCAAGCGTGCCATCGTGATTCTAAAATGTCGAGGTTTTCTTATTTGTAGTTAACTCAAGAGAACCTCAGCCGATTGATGCAGCTAGGGTCAAAGCTGGTTCTTTTATGCAAGCCGGGCCATTGTGTTGACAAAACTTGAAAATGTTTCGGACACTGTTTCTACTTCCTGTTTTCAGCACATTTCGTACGGTTTAGCTGAACAAGTTTTATTTTGTTGGTATTTGTAACGACGGAAGCCATTGCTCAACAAGTTTTATTTTGTAATTTATAACAGCGAAAGCCATTGTTGTAAAAATAAATATTGTAAAAAAATTATAATTGCAAAAAATTAGTAAAAGTCTGATGAAAATATTATAAGAAAAGTGAACAGGCGTCGTTTCCTGAGATATTAAAAGTCCTTGTATATGTTATCTATAATGATGTTGTTGGGAGCGCTGTCTTTATCCTAAAAGTCTGCGAAAGTATACGAAAGCTGACATTCGTATAACACCAACCATGACTTCAAAAGCCTTCGAAACTGGAATGGAAACGATTTATTTCAGCACGTCAACTTTGAGCAGCCACTTGACAAATCATGTAATGCAATGGAATCCTTGATTTACAGCATTGAAATAGACGGGTATTAAAGGCAAGGATATTCTTTTTCATCAGACAAAAGGACCGTCAAAAAAGAAGAATCTCGAGATCACGTTGAATGTCGTTATAATTTACGTACACTCCGCTGTTGGGAAAAAAAATTGGATCTTAATTCTCTCTCTGTATGCCTATACTTCATTGTACTTTTTAGTCTATAACTTCCAAACTGCTGATACATGTCTTAATATTACTAAGTTTAACCGAAATAACATTTTTACACGTAATTAGTCAGCAACACTTACCTAAGTTTTGAAGATAATGGATCAGCCGGCCCGCCTTACCTGAAAACTTCACGGGGTATACGTTTTAAGTTTAACATACTGAAACAATAAAATATTCTTTTCATCGCAACTGGCCACAGTTCTTTGGTTTTGGGATAAAATTTCCATGAAAAAAACGAATCGATGAAGGAATAACTTCAAGTGAAACATAGACAAGCTTATGAATTTGCATATCATCTAATTTAGTCAAATTGAATATTTCTCAAGAAAATTTCCATTTTTTTTTTTCTGTGACCAAAACAAAAACAAAAAATCCTTCAAACAGCCATTCCTTTAACAATATCGGTGAAATAAATTGTTTGCCGCTTTTTTCAGAAAGACGAATTTAATGATGGCAACGCAATTGGCTAAAATTTTTGTGTTCCTCGCTTGCTCTTAGATGAGAAAGAAACTGTAACTAAAGGCATATTTGCTTCTTTCGTTTAACAAAATAGATTTCTTTTTCCTCGCGAGTCCCAAGCCATGACTATACTCTTTCAGGACTAATTAGCTAACGTCAATAAAGCGATCAAAAGATGTTAAACGTAAAAATGCATGTTAACTTAGTCGAACTGAATATTTCTATGATAATTTCCACTGATTTATTCCTGTTTTCATAAGGATTAAAAATTGGTGGAATAAATACCTGAACAAGATCAACTATTTTTCTAGAAAAAAAAAAAAAAGAAAGAAGCAAGAAAGACGGATTTCATGTTCCTCGCTTGCTCTATAAATGAGAATGTTTAAGAAGTTAGAAACTGTCAAGGCATATTTGTTTAGTTTAGCAAACACAAGTTGTACATGTAATCATGATAATTGTTACCGTTTCAGTAACAAAGCAAACAAAAACGTTTTCAGATTTCGTCTTCCTCTTTCCAAGAATATAGATAATTACACTCTTCTTATACTGTATTTCTTGGAACAAAAAGGATCAAAAATTATGTTATGAATTTTTTCTAGTTGCCTCCTATGTAAATTAGCTTTCTGTCCATGTTTTAGACTGACCGTACTGAAAATTCCTGAAAATTGTTAAAATTGAGGGTTGAAAATCGGGTACGCGTGTTGGGTGTAAAGTTATCAAAAACAAATAACAAAACAAAACAAACCAAAAAAGCATATGTCCAAGCCATGAGGGTTATTCTGAGGGCCAACAGAATCACCTGCACACAATATATGAGGAACACTCTAGGGCTCTTGACACTGTACAGTGGGAGACGATTCCTCAGATTTGTTTTTATTTTTTAAGATTGTAAACAACTAAAACTGCCCTAAACAACTAGAGGGTTACCTAACCATTAGGGTTGAGCTCCAAAACAGAAATATGCCGAACCAAGGCACTCTCGACGTACCACAATCTAAGACTTCTTCAGGAAGAAAGACTTTCCAATTCAAATTGCTGGCGCAAGTGACTGGAACTCACTCCCTACAGAACTTAGAAAAACAACTAGTATAGGCTCTTTTAAATTTAATCTTTTTAAACAACTGATCGAGGGACAGTGACATTAGTAATCATAAATGCACAGTGTAACTAGGTGGATTTTTTAATAGTTTTTTGTGGTTCTTAATATCTTTAATTAGTTTTTAGTAGTTCTTAAATTAACGGTTTTTAGTAGTCTTATCTTAGCAGTTTTTAGCGTCTTTGAAATGTAATTTAGAATAATATTATTATAAATTTTATTTACTGGACATCCTTAAGACCAGCGTTGTATAACGCTGATAGTATAAATAAAGCTTTTATTATTATTATTATCATTAAATGGTGATGATTGGTCATAATTTGTTTATGGAATAGTATTCCCTAATCCAAATGCTTAATTTAATTCCAAAAAAATATATTAGATGGGTTTTGTCCAACGACATAGAATTTGAAACAAAAGTCCCGATTATCTAAGAATTGTATTTTTTTTAACCGGAAGTAGATTCCTTGCACGCATGTGCATAAACGCGGAGAGGCATGAGGGAAAATGGGACAGGACCGGGGAGGACATATTTTGCTAATAAGTTGCTCTAGTGGATTGTACTGGAGAAACTTTTTCATACATGTGAGGGGAAGTGTAAAGGAGGACGGTGCCTTTAAATTCTACGAGCAAGAGTCTTGTCGAAAAGCCATTATCCACAAAGCATGACCAATTATCACGCACGACCCACGACCCACGGCCCATGACTCACTCACCCACGCCAATTAGACAATCAGCATCTTCGTGTTACAGTAATCTTGTTATCAGTATCCTTTTCTGACTCTCACTGGCTTAAATTTCTCGGATAATTCTTTATAACCACCTAGTGTCGACCAAGTTTGGAAGATTTTTGCCCATGTTAATGCAATTGACGTCAATTGTACTGATCTCGAAGGCATGGTTGCTCAGCTGTTTTGGCAAAGGAGGAAGCGAGGGGGAAGATTTCACACGTCAAGCGAAGGAGAAATAACCAAACTTCTGCTAAAAAAAGCAAGGAAGGAGTGGCAGATACAATAGATAAATGACACTTCAACTAATCCGTCAATCACCTAATTTAGGGCGGGGTTTATGCAAATTAAAATGCAACGTGCTTGACAGCTTCGCCCGCTTGTGGTTCTTGTAAGAGGCTTATACGAGGCGGTGCAAAGCAGAACTAAATATAACTCGTGAATGGCGAAGAACATTGCACTGAGGAACAGTATTTTGGTTGAAGGAAGGATGAAGGGTAGCAGACATTGCTTTATTCGTGAATGTGAGAGAGACATTCGTTAGAAATATCAGAATAATGATCGGAACGTCAAAACAAAACAGTTGACTGAGCAACCAGAGTGTCGCCCGGGGCATAAAAAAAGTTGAAAAGCCAACGCTCAGGCTGCCAGTGAGTAACAATGCAGTTTTATTTTTAGTTTTGACCTACTACCTCAACTGAAAATCCACGATTCACAGCGACGTTTTCTCCTCCGTCGCCATCCTAGTCGCTTACGCTCTCTCTCTCTCTCTGTTTTTAGTAAAATCCAATAAGTGGTCTATTATCAATGTTGCGTTTTGATTGGTTGAGCTACTTACTAGGCTATATGTTATAGCCCACTAGTAGCGAAAAGCGCCGGCTTTGAAAACCAAAACAATGGCGGCTGAATCGCGTTTTGCTAGCTAAAGTTGTTTTGTCTCGATATTTTTGACCAACTAGTTGGATTTTACTAAAACAATTATTCCTCTCGCCCTCATGGCCCTCATGGCCTTCGGCCTCATGGGCTATTGACTCAGAGCCCATTCGGGCTCGAAGAATAATTGTTAAATATGACTTTACTATTTTTTTTGGTGCATTTCAGGGATTATCATCCTATTTAATACACCAAGCAACTCTCCAATTCCTCTTTAGGCAAGTTCCTTTGAGCTTGATGCGTATAAGCCCTCACTCCAAAGACAACGCCAAATGGCACGATTTTTAGATGAGTCAGTACATCTTTAAAAGCTCTAGGTATCCTTCCACGCTCATCCGAGTTCCTGGAGCTGTGCTTGTGGGGCTAACGCTTACTCGGCTGTGTGCAGGAATTATAACTGTACCTATTAAACTTGAACCTGCAATAAACCAGGTTAACAGTTAGCAAAATAGATTTTAAGACGAGTTTGGAAATTCCAGGTCACTTTTTAAACACACTGAACATCTTTTTATTACCGCGGAGCGAGCGAAGCGAGCGATTAGCAACATAATCAGGATTTGAGAGAAATATATAAGGTGGGACGAATTCTCGAATTCATCACTTTTTACCAGAATGCATTGCATTTAACCAGAGTGCACTGCGCCATTTTTTACCAAAATGCATTGCGGACGCACAACTCAAATAAAAACAAGAGGAAGTTCGGTGGGTGAGAGCGTGCATCGTTCGCTGCTCAGACTCAGAGTTTTCTTTGTGGCAAATTTTCTACAGCACCGTTAGAGGTCTTACCAAATTTAAGAGTGTCAGGAGTCTTTCAGATGAGTACGATGGTTAACTTGGGGGTTTGATTTCAATTCAAGAGCCTTTGACTCGTCCAGGCGTTAAACTTGACGAAAAGATGAGCATTTGCACTTCGACTTTGCCACACGGGGGATATACAAATTCCAGCTTGCTAGAAGGTGATGTGAAAGTGAGAAAATGTCATGCCATGCTATTCTTAAGAACCTGTATGTGCCGAAAATGGATGTGATTTTGACCATTAGCTTCAAAATAACAGCGGAAATCGAGATGACAAAACATTATATTTTGCGTCCTACATTACAGACGAGGACGTGTATCGGCGTTTTGTAAAGCACAATTATGTTCCCTCCATTCATTCATTGCCATGGAATATGCGTTTACATTGCTTTTTTACTGTTAATAGCTCGGTTAATGCAGCTCGATCATCTTTAAACGGCGTTTGCCGAAGGAAGTTTCATGGAAAAGGCATTAAACTAAAGACCTTTCCCCAAGGTTACGTAACCAGCCTCTGTGGTGTAGTGGTAAGGTGTAGTCGCGTCGAGCCGAAGGTGCCGAGTTTGAGTCCTACTCAGTACCTTATCTTTTTTTTCCTTCTTTGTTTGTTTGTTTGTTTTTTTTTCGTTTTTTTGTGTTGTTGTTTTCTATAAATATATACCTTAATATCTGCCATTTAATAAAGTGCAATAAACAGCACGAAATGTCTCGTGTTTCCAGGAAAAAGATAGTACACCGTATATTAAATATATGGATAAACAATCTGAATTTCTATCATTTCCTACAATTTACTGTGGGAAAACCAGAGTTGATAACCATTTGATAATTTTCTAAACAACGTTCCCACGAGTTCTTTCTATAGACTGATAGTAATTATTACTTTCCAACATGTAAATAGGACATTCAATGTCATTTTCGATTCTTTTAAGTCTCATTGCCTAACTAATGTCAGTATCAACAGAATGTGCCGCAGCATTACTATCTTTTAGATACCCTAGGTTATATTTAATATTTGAAAGATTTATCCCATGCTGATTGGTAGAGAGGTCTGGTCAATTTCACCTGTGCCAGGTTTCAGATAACAGGGAAGTCAAGCAGTTCTGGCACTCTCTGCACATTACTATCTTTAACCCCATGAGATTTTGCTCCTCTGGCGAAAGAAGCGTTTCCCAGCCAAAGTGACCTGGTTCTCGTAGTCGTCCCCGTCTTATGTGAACGACGACGACAACAACAACAGCAACATAAGAAAAACACACACCTCTATCATAGAGATACAACGCCACTGTTCATGTCACCTGTTTAGTGGTTTCAACATATGCGCATTAAATTTTATGGGTAAGAATATTCCTCACCAGGTCTCCACGGACTGCTTCCGTCCCCCTTTATTCTGCCCGCAGGAGGTTGGTACTTAGGAGCGGATGAAATAACGCTGATTCTGTGATGACTAGGCGACTTTCCAGAGCTGTTGTACTGCAAGCAGGAAGCAAAAAAAGAAATACAGTGGAACCTCTATTCAGGAGATAACCTCGGAACCAAGGTAAGTGTTTCCGGAATAGACGTGTCCTCTGAATGGAGGTTGGGCTGGGTTCTGTTAATCATTAAGCAACAAATAATATATAGATTTAGCCAGGGCTAAAAGCGAAACTCCCATTAACAAATTTATAAGATTTAAATCAAACAATAAACTTGTAATCCACAAATCAGTCAACTTTAGAGCACATTCATGTGACTTTTGAGGGAAAGGTCAAGTGATTTTAGAGAAAGTAATTTGCAAACAGTCCAAGAGTGAACCAAATCTTACATCGAGTTGATAGCCTTATATGTACACCCAAAAAATAGCAATCATCTTCGATCACATTTAAGAGCCATAAAGGCTCTTGATCACAGTAGATTAGGCCTGGAGAACAAATTCTTGGAAAACAAAGCAGGCCAAAATTTTTGCGTTCGACAAGTTTACTTGACAAAATCTTGCCAACAAATCCGGGGGCGTGTAAACCAACCTTTTATACTTTCTATACATTACAACTGAAACGCTGTTTTTTGTTTTGTTTTGTTTTTTGTTTTTTGTTTTTTTTTCATACAGACCTCGGAAAGAATGCAGTATTTCACAATTGTGCAATACAAATTGTACTTATTCAATATTCAGGACGATCGCAGTACGCGTGGGATTTTAGCGAAACCGTTAAAAAAAATTTCCAAAATCACCTACACGGCCAGCCGGTTCTCACTCTTGACAAGCGCCAAATTTGCAGTGCGGGCTGTGACCACTAATAGAGTTACGCTTCAAAATAATATAGAATTTATCATGTTTATTTTTTATTTAATGGTTTTATAACGATGTGTAATCTTAAAAAGCGTTTGATACGCGCGGCATTTTGAGTGCTCTTGCAAAAGCCATGTTCATGAACGACTGAAAACAAACGGCACAGCGATCAAAATTGCAAGAGAGACTACTAACAATCAATAAAAGAAAAATAATTCGCAAAATCTCGCTTCCCATAACTCAGTTTCGCAAAGGCAGTAAGTGGTTGTTCTGACAGTGATAATGGTGTACTATTTGTAGTGCGAAATGGCCGTTCCAAGTGTCACTGTTGAGAGGTACAATTGAATAAGTAGGTTGGAGAGGAGGTATTTTTAACTAAAGAGAGGTTTCCAAGCCTTAGCATCTCAAAAAGGAAGAATATAATTTAAACTGATCACAACAACGCAATCGTCATACCAGAGGTACAGGTTCTTCATCTATTGTTACTTGCAGGGATGGTGGTGTACTGGTTTTCTTGGAAAATGCACCAATTGCTACCCTGGAAATGACAGGAAAAGTTAGGGTGCGTTTCTTTACCAAAATCCAAGTTCAGACTAATAATCCGGATCATTAGAATTTTTCGTGAAAAAAAGAAACGATGTATCCTAAAAGGATTATTTTCCCTTCATTTGAAGCGGTGAATCGACTTGACAACCTGTTACCCGTTCCCTGTCCCATCCTGTTACAAGCGAGACCAGGCAAATGCATACCCACCCCTCCCCTGGGTGAGTTTGGGCTTGACAACAAAATATTCCTCACCAATAACATCCTCCAGTAGTAACTACAACATAAGGTTTGCCTTTCTCCCAAACCAGGCTCCGTGTCTCTGTATTGTGTACTTGCGAAGTAAAGCTAATGTCGTCTGTCATTTGATCTACTGCTACACAGGAATGAGCTTTGGGATACAGATTAGACACACCCGTCCATCTCCACCTGAAACAAAAAGATAACTGCGAGACTGGTGATACAGAGGGCTTTTTAACTAGAGCGTGATGCCATTAGCTCAAAATACCGCCGCTCCGAAATGTTTAAAAAGAAAATGGTCTAAAAACATGACGCAATAACTAAGACTTAAAGGCCACTTTGAATTTTAGTACATATTCCGTCTGATCGATATAGTTCAGTAATAAAAAAAACATGGTAGCATGTATTTCCCAAAGAGACTTAGAAAAAATATCAAAGAGCAATCAAGGTACCTTCCATGAAGTTGTAGCTTCTGGCTCATAGCTTCAGTGCGCTTGTCTAAAGTTGCGTACGAGTGGTGGACAGAAGTGTTGATTTCAGACTATTAAAAGAGATTTTAAGGAGGCATTTAGATTCTTTTGCTGATTCTTCATATGGGTGGTTAAATCACTGTTCCTTTTCTTTTTTTAAGAAAGTATAAGGTCCTCTAAATTGACTAGACAATCGGCTGTTGCCAAGGCCTGTTCTCCGCAACTTATAGTTATTCGACAACGATTAGTGCTCAACAAAAGTTTCTCGCAGACTAAGCGAAAAAGCCATAGAATACTTTGGCTTTTTAGTTCACAACATGATAGCTAACGTTACGGTACTTTATCAATACGAGTGCTCATCTGGGGAACCATCTCCAGAAGAAGAAAAAGAAGTCATAACCTTGGCGTCATTCTTTCCAAAACGTAACAAAAATCATAAATTGATAATGTCGCGAGATAGTATACAATGGCTGTTAAAGAAGTAAGCCTTACTTGTTTGTTAAGAGCTGCATGGATTTCTTTGAGCGCCACTTTCCAGCCAGTAATTTCTTCATTAGATATTAACTGTTCAGCAACTAAAGACACTAACTACAAAACAAACGCAGCTAAATAAGTGAGTTATTTGATAACAGCCTCCTTCTAAAGTTCAAATATTCATAGCTTTACCTCATCATCACCCCGTTTGTTGTCATGCTGGCGTCTATATAAGGTCATATCTTGTTTAAGGTGAGACATTTTGTCGTCTAGCGCTGACATTCCTTCATGATCGATTAGAAAAGAAAAGTAGAAAAATACAATATAATTAACAAAAACAATCAAAAGGCATTTTGCAAATGGTTTAAGCCCGAGAGCAATGCCATGAGTAGGTGTAAAATGATGGTCCAGGTGAGCGGAAAGTCCTGAGTAGAACTGCGGAATCCAGAACTTTTTTGCTTGTGGAATCCGGAATCAAGGTTTTTGGAACCCGGAATTCAGCTCCAGGAATCCGGAATCCCGCTAAAATTAAAATCTGGATTCCAAGTTCCACTCTCAAGGAATCTGGAATCCACAGCGTGGAGTCCGAATCCAAGATTCCTTTAGATTACCTTACATGGGGCGATAGAGCAATTTTCGTATGACCTTGAAATGGAAACGCGCGAACAAAACAGAAACAACAAACGAACGGAAACAGAGCGATTTGATTGGTTTAACGAACGGATACAAACGCGCGTGACTTTTGCTTGGTTAAGCGGACGCTCGTGTGAAAATACTTCACGCCCGAGAACTTTCTAGGAATCAACCGATACTTCGCTCTGACGTCATACTGCAACACGATTGGCTAATCGAACAATGCCTTCTCTATATAAGGGTTTTCTTTAGCGGGAAAACGGAGAGACCATGTTTTGATCTTTTCATCCACTGGCTGATAAAACAAATAACGAACGCTTACCGAAATCATTTTTCAAGGTCATAGGAAAATCGCTCTAACAGTGTCTGACCTTCTGATACAAAATGAAATGATGGTAAAAGAAAATTAACTCTGGAGTGAAACTTTGAAGTAGATTGAATTTTTCAGAGTTATTTTTTCCGTTCCATCATTTGTGTGACAATGCTAAGCGGCACAATATTTATACATGTATGTAATGTACCCTTCACTCGCGTTCGGTAGACATAACCGAAGTCATAATTAAGTCATCACTACGTTTAACTCGTTAAAACTGCAACACTACTCAAATATATATCTTATAATGGGCAACGAATTGTGACACTTGCTGTGTCGAATCATATTTAACATTCCAAGGGCACATATAAAAATATGTTCGGAGAAAAACTAATATTAAATGACTGAAAAATGGAAAGAAAAATTATATAGATTTAGCCAGGGCTAAAAGCGAAACTCCCATTAACAAATTTATAAGATTTAAATCAAACAATAAACTTGTAATCCACAAATCAGTCAACTTTAGAGCACATTCATGTGACTTTTGAGGGAAAGGTCAAGTGATTTTAGAGAAAGTAATTTGCAAACAGTCCAAGAGTGAACCAAATCTTACATCGAGTTGATAGCCTTATATGTACACCCAAAAAATAGCAATCATCTTCGATCACATTTAAGAGCCATAAAGGCTCTTGATCACAGTAGATTAGGCCTGGAGAACAAATTCTTGGAAAACAAAGCAGGCCAAAATTTTTGCGTTCGACAAGTTTACTTGACAAAATCTTGCCAACAAATCCGGGGGCGTGTAAACCAACCTTTTATACTTTCTATACATTACAACTGAAACGCTGTTTTTTGTTTTGTTTTGTTTTTTGTTTTTTGTTTTTTTTTCATACAGACCTCGGAAAGAATGCAGTATTTCACAATTGTGCAATACAAATTGTACTTATTCAATATTCAGGACGATCGCAGTACGCGTGGGATTTTAGCGAAACCGTTAAAAAAAATTTCCAAAATCACCTACACGGCCAGCCGGTTCTCACTCTTGACAAGCGCCAAATTTGCAGTGCGGGCTGTGACCACTAATAGAGTTACGCTTCAAAATAATATAGAATTTATCATGTTTATTTTTTATTTAATGGTTTTATAACGATGTGTAATCTTAAAAAGCGTTTGATACGCGCGGCATTTTGAGTGCTCTTGCAAAAGCCATGTTCATGAACGACTGAAAACAAACGGCACAGCGATCAAAATTGCAAGAGAGACTACTAACAATCAATAAAAGAAAAATAATTCGCAAAATCTCGCTTCCCATAACTCAGTTTCGCAAAGGCAGTAAGTGGTTGTTCTGACAGTGATAATGGTGTACTATTTGTAGTGCGAAATGGCCGTTCCAAGTGTCACTGTTGAGAGGTACAATTGAATAAGTAGGTTGGAGAGGAGGTATTTTTAACTAAAGAGAGGTTTCCAAGCCTTAGCATCTCAAAAAGGAAGAATATAATTTAAACTGATCACAACAACGCAATCGTCATACCAGAGGTACAGGTTCTTCATCTATTGTTACTTGCAGGGATGGTGGTGTACTGGTTTTCTTGGAAAATGCACCAATTGCTACCCTGGAAATGACAGGAAAAGTTAGGGTGCGTTTCTTTACCAAAATCCAAGTTCAGACTAATAATCCGGATCATTAGAATTTTTCGTGAAAAAAAGAAACGATGTATCCTAAAAGGATTATTTTCCCTTCATTTGAAGCGGTGAATCGACTTGACAACCTGTTACCCGTTCCCTGTCCCATCCTGTTACAAGCGAGACCAGGCAAATGCATACCCACCCCTCCCCTGGGTGAGTTTGGGCTTGACAACAAAATATTCCTCACCAATAACATCCTCCAGTAGTAACTACAACATAAGGTTTGCCTTTCTCCCAAACCAGGCTCCGTGTCTCTGTATTGTGTACTTGCGAAGTAAAGCTAATGTCGTCTGTCATTTGATCTACTGCTACACAGGAATGAGCTTTGGGATACAGATTAGACACACCCGTCCATCTCCACCTGAAACAAAAAGATAACTGCGAGACTGGTGATACAGAGGGCTTTTTAACTAGAGCGTGATGCCATTAGCTCAAAATACCGCCGCTCCGAAATGTTTAAAAAGAAAATGGTCTAAAAACATGACGCAATAACTAAGACTTAAAGGCCACTTTGAATTTTAGTACATATTCCGTCTGATCGATATAGTTCAGTAATAAAAAAAACATGGTAGCATGTATTTCCCAAAGAGACTTAGAAAAAATATCAAAGAGCAATCAAGGTACCTTCCATGAAGTTGTAGCTTCTGGCTCATAGCTTCAGTGCGCTTGTCTAAAGTTGCGTACGAGTGGTGGACAGAAGTGTTGATTTCAGACTATTAAAAGAGATTTTAAGGAGGCATTTAGATTCTTTTGCTGATTCTTCATATGGGTGGTTAAATCACTGTTCCTTTTCTTTTTTTAAGAAAGTATAAGGTCCTCTAAATTGACTAGACAATCGGCTGTTGCCAAGGCCTGTTCTCCGCAACTTATAGTTATTCGACAACGATTAGTGCTCAACAAAAGTTTCTCGCAGACTAAGCGAAAAAGCCATAGAATACTTTGGCTTTTTAGTTCACAACATGATAGCTAACGTTACGGTACTTTATCAATACGAGTGCTCATCTGGGGAACCATCTCCAGAAGAAGAAAAAGAAGTCATAACCTTGGCGTCATTCTTTCCAAAACGTAACAAAAATCATAAATTGATAATGTCGCGAGATAGTATACAATGGCTGTTAAAGAAGTAAGCCTTACTTGTTTGTTAAGAGCTGCATGGATTTCTTTGAGCGCCACTTTCCAGCCAGTAATTTCTTCATTAGATATTAACTGTTCAGCAACTAAAGACACTAACTACAAAACAAACGCAGCTAAATAAGTGAGTTATTTGATAACAGCCTCCTTCTAAAGTTCAAATATTCATAGCTTTACCTCATCATCACCCCGTTTGTTGTCATGCTGGCGTCTATATAAGGTCATATCTTGTTTAAGGTGAGACATTTTGTCGTCTAGCGCTGACATTCCTTCATGATCGATTAGAAAAGAAAAGTAGAAAAATACAATATAATTAACAAAAACAATCAAAAGGCATTTTGCCAATGGTTTAAGACGGGAGCCATGCCATGAGTAGGTGTAATATGATGGTCAAGGTGAGCGAAAAGTCCTGAATAGAACTGCGGAATCCAGAACTTTTTGCTTGTAGAATCCGGAATCCGCGTTTTTGGAACCCGGAATTCAGCACAAGGAATCCAAAATCCCGCTGAAATTAAAATCTGGATTCCAAGTACCACTCTCAAGGAATCTGGAATCCACAACGTGGAGTCCGAATCCAAGATTCCTTTAGATTACCTTACATGGGGCGATAGAGCAATTTTCGTATGACCTTGAAATGGAAACGCGCGAACAAAACAGAAACAACAAACGAACGGAAACAGAGCGATTTGATTGGTTTAACGAACGGATACAAACGCGCGTGACTTTTGCTTGGTTAAGCGGACGCTCGTGTGAAAATACTTCACGCCCGAGAACTTTCTAGGAATCAACCGATACTTCGCTCTGACGTCATACTGCAACACGATTGGCTAATCGAACAATGCCTTCTCTATATAAGGGTTTTCTTTAGCGGGAAAACGGAGAGACCATGTTTTGATCTTTTCATCCACTGGCTGATAAAACAAATAACGAACGCTTACCGAAATCATTTTTCAAGGTCATAGGAAAATCGCTCTAACAGTGTCTGACCTTCTGATACAAAATGAAATGATGGTAAAAGAAAATTAACTCTGGAGTGAAACTTTGAAGTAGATTGAATTTTTCAGAGTTATTTTTTCCGTTCCATCATTTGTGTGACAATGCTAAGCGGCACAATATTTATACATGTATGTAATGTACCCTTCACTCGCGTTCGGTAGACATAACCGAAGTCATAATTAAGTCATCACTACGTTTAACTCGTTAAAACTGCAACACTACTCAAATATATATCTTATAATGGGCAACGAATTGTGACACTTGCTGTGTCGAATCATATTTAACATTCCAAGGGCACATATAAAAATATGTTCGGAGAAAAACTAATATTAAATGACTGAAAAATGGAAAGAAAAAGTTTTCAAAAAATTTACATGTAAAGCCCACCTTTAGACATCGCTTTAAGCCTTTCATCCTGTTCATCCAACTAAGAACAAATAATAACAAAAACAGCCAATCACGTTAAAAGCTTCAACAGATCAAGAAATTTGTGCTTTTCTTTTCTTGCCTTAGAACTAATTAGACGACAGATTACTCAGATTATTTTGTGTTTTTTTTTTTTCATAAAGTCCATTTCACCTCACCTTCTCTTTGAGCGAGTCCACGTCGAATTTATGTATTCCTAAGGAAACTTGTTTTTGAGTCTTCTTCTCTTCAGCAGCTATAACGACAGCGATCAAAAGAAATAAACACGAAAGTTGAACTTGTCATAGAACCTCTTTTTTTATAAAGTGTAAATTCTTGCGTTATGTATTTAATGCAGCTACAAGTCACCCCATGTAAGATAATCCGCGAGAATCCGGAATTAATCGTGGAAATTTTTCCTTCTGGATTCCGGAATCGGCGAAATTTTTGCTAGTGGAATCTGGAAACCTGGACTGGCTCTTAGCCAGCTTGAGCTTAAAGTGCCCATCACCTAAAATTTTATATTTTCTTATCTGAAACTATACCTTATTAAAATAACTTCTGCGAAAAAATTTTGCGCTTTGAACAAAACGCGAGTTTTTTACCAATTTTTGAAGTCTACATTTTTGCGGTACACCCGCACCGCTGATCATGCAAACTAGCAGGCTCACATATGACGTCATGTGACGTAAATTAAGGAACTCGCATTACCTTGCCTTCACCAGCTGTACACAAAAAAGATAAATTACGAGTAAAGATTGAATCACAATGTCTTCGTAAGAAGAAAGTTTTTCTGAAAAAGAAAAACCTATCAGAAGTCTTAATGTTTACCTGTCGATAAGGTCACGTGTTCCTTAAAGTACGTCATATGAAGACTAAGACGAATGGTGTGCCAAAATGGCGGCAAATTTGAACGTTTTTAAAAAAATGTAAAAAAAATCGTCTTTGGTTTAAATCGCAAAATTTTTTCGCAGAGGTTATTTTGATAAGGTGTAGTTTCAGATAAGAAAATAAAAAAACTTAGGTTATGGGCACTTTAATTACTGACACAACAAATTCATTGCTAGGTACATCCATGTTACGTTGATAGTCTGATACCTTTCGCAGCCGGTAGGTTGGTGACTTGGCTCATCAAATCGTCGTAAAGTTCAATGATTTTACGATCAAGGTTGGCAAACTGGAAAAGAGTTATAAAAAAAAGCGAATTAGGTTACCCCAAGATGAGAAAATTAAGCACAGTGTTGCTATCATTTACAATATTAATGAAAGCTGAGTAACACCTGATAGATAAGGTTCTCCGATTCCATTCCAGTATTAAAGCACAGTTGCAAATAATCGCCAACGAGGCAACCGGGCTAAGAAGCGAGGTTGACTCGGCGGCAGATTGATAACCCCGCCCAATGTGGGCAAAAACTCTCAAACTCTGCGTAACCCACTAAAATTTGCATTTTTGACCATATTTGGGTGTAAGTAAGACCCCATATTTGGGCAGTGGCGCGATGATCTTGTATTTACAACTCGTGGTTCGAAATTGGGTGATCCCGTGTGCAGCTGTTCTTTTTCTGTTCAAGAAGCCCTAACAGGTGAGCATGCTTCAATACGATTTCTAGTTTTAGAGGGCTATTAGTGCTCTGGTTTGCTTTATAAATTGCGTTTAAAAAAGCAGCTGATCAATGAATAGGGTTCTACGCTTCAATTTCGGTCAGAACCAGCTTATTCTTCGCAGCTCGATTTACATGGAGGTAGCGTGTTCGCTTCTAGACTCAGAACCCGGGTTTTCAGTGTTATTTTTTAATTTCTAAATTGAATTTTATGCAGTAGGTAATGAAGGAATAGGGTTGTATTCTCAAAACGTTTATCGGAACCAGCGTGTTCTTCGCAGGTCGATTTGCATTGAGCCGGTCCTCACCTCCCGTGAGGAATGCAACGCAGTTGAGGACCTTTTGTTTTTTAAGAAGTTATTTTTTGCCTTTGGAGAAATTTTTGTCAACCAGCATGCACTTTTGCAGCTCGACTAACATTGAAGACGGCCCTAAACTCCCATACAGCTAAACTCCCAACGAATTTGCGGACCTTTTGTTTTAACGACCATCATTATGAATCATTTTGCCTTCGAGGTACTCTTTGTCCTGTGCCATTCGCTCATTAGATCTTTGAATTTTATTAAAGTTTATATTTTTATACCTCTGATACATTCCGCCCCATTCGTGCGCTTTTCACACATTTTACTTACACCAATTTTTTCATATGTATATTACCATGCGGAATATTTTTCTTAACCCTGTTGATGCCGTTGATCGGCTAAAGCTCGGAATTTAATTTTAATTTTAAATTTTAGCAGTCAAGCCCTCACTTGAACTATATTTTACTTTCTAACGTTTATGGTTTTGAATTTCAATAAAATATAAGTGCTAACTTGCTCCAATTTACCAACAAAGCTTCAAGCCATGTTGTCTTTTTTTAATACAATTGAAAGCCTATAGATGATGTACCAAGTTTTTTAATTTGTGGATTACGCGTAGCGTAAGGAACAAGTTATTGTGGGCACTGTCATATGCAAATTTTTCACTTAGATGGAGACACCTTTCGTAAATCAGTCGGCTCCAAACGAAAGCGCCCGATATCAAAACGACAACTGTCGTAGATCGTTCCCGTTCCGCGATGTGCTGATTTTGTACCTTTCACAGGAGTCACAGGACAATTGCCTTGTGGACTTTGAATGTTTCAAATTAGCACTATGGCCAACTTTGAGACAGAAGTTTATGAACTTTTGAAGCTTTTTTATTCGTCCAGCGATAAACAGGACGAAAAGATCAGCAATTGCTCTTCGACTCCCAAGCGAAGCAGTTCCAAGCTTACGATTCCGCTGCCGTGAGTCTCACGATGTTTTAACTTTTCTCACGACAAGACTCCCAATCTCATGGTTTTTAGTGAAATATCATTCTGCAGTGACATGTTTCTTTGTTCAATAAAAACGGAAATGTTTACCGCTGCTGAATCGCAAGTGATTCTCCTCATGCATAAACGCTGAGAATTGCAAGCTGCCAGAGACTTCGCGACGGTTTTGCGAGATACTTGTAGGCCATATGTTCCTCAAAGGCGACGAAATTAGTTAAAGTACAGCTTTAACTGTAAAAACATACTTGTTTTCCTCGAATATACCTTTCAATTCTTCATAAATAACACTCTACCGGCTTCAAACAGCATCGACCGGCAGAATTTCATAGACAAAAGTGTTAAACATATTTAATTAAACAAGTCTTCAATATTCGCCGCCGGGACGCAATGCGTTGACTTTACACATCGGTGGTCGGGTTCAACTCTCGCCGTTGGTATTTTTTTTTTCTTTTTTTTGTTCCTTTTGGTTCGTTTTGTTTTTTTTCGTTAAACTTTTTTTCATCTTTTGACAAACTTAAAATCTACCGGTCCGGTAGACTAATTGCAGATTCATTATCAGCTTTTATTTCTAAAATACAGTAATTAATAATCCACAAGTTAGCCTTAGGCACCCTTTGATTTTCTGAAGTTGAGTGCCATCATTTTCTATAGCCGAATCTATTGTAAATCTCCAAGATTATGTAACAAATCGCGAAGATCTTGATAGGCACATTCCACAAAAGATAAATGAATTCGCCTCGTTGGCACTTACCGGAAAGTATCCCTACCTTTTATTTCTTTAAGGACGTATGTCCGACCAAGCCACCAATTTGGTCGAACAAAATAAATTGTGGTCAGACTCAATCAAGGATGCATTACCAAATTTGGCATGGAAAGCGCCGGGGTAGGCGCGGGATTCAAATGGATGGAGAAGAATTCCCTTATTACTCTAGGAAAAAGAAACAAACACACACGCAAACAAAAACATCCTGTGAGTAGAAAGTGACAGTTTTAGACAGTACCTTGTCATCAATTTTCTTGGACAATTTTCTTTCAAGTACTTCTAAATCTTCAGTATGCTGTCGATGGCTAACTTTATCTGTGGTGCTACAATACATCAAACGCAAACACATTTAACAGGTTAAAATGTTTCAAAAAAAAGTAGAGACTCCACCTTGCGAGCAGAGCTTCGTTCAATCGTCGTTCATACTAGGGAGATCGAAGAAGACTCTGGAAGCAGCAGGGTATACAGACCGCAAGCTTACGAAAGCCTCTTCAAAGAAAATTTCTCACAACGGCTAATGAAGGACTGTCCATAAAAAGTATTTGTAATGATAGTTGAGGAAAACCAGCTTTTTAACTCGCACGCGTATCTTCATAATATTTTGCGATCATTACGCTGTGGAATAATTTGGTAAAAGAGTAACCTCTAGAATACATACTTACTTCGTTTATACTTTTGATTGCAATTTCGTGAGCACTAAGCAAACCATTCCGTTTATCAACATTATCATCATCATCATTATTACATGTATTAATAATGAAACGAGTTAAAAAATGACGCGGATAAATGCGATAAATTGTCAGACATAGTTTGCAGTTGAAGATTCACACAGAAAAATATTATTATGATTAGTGTGAATATGATTATGATTATGATTATTATTATTATTATTATGATGATGATGATTATTACTATCATTATTTATCTATTTATTTATCTATTCTATTAGAATTTGCATTTTTCTGGATGCGTTACAGAAACATACAAGTTCTATGATGAACTAAAGTGAGAGGAGTATGGCGTAAGTCACCTGGCGCTAGAAGTCTTCATTGATTCAATGGTATGTATTTCAAACAGCATTACCTTTCTTTGGCAAACTTCCTAATTAGGGAAGGTTGATTTGCCATCCGGTCGGACATTTCATCGATGATGTCGCCCCATTCTGACACTAGATGAATTATACAAACAATAAAAAGATTAAAAAAAAGAAAAAACTCAGCAAGAATCAAAGTATTAGACGACTGCATTGCATTACTTGAAGGTTGAATGCACTGAACTAAACAATCTGTAATAAAATGACCGGGGAAAACTTGCAAAAACCATAGACCTATGGTTATTGTGGGGCGACAAGAGGAACACGCAATCCTAATCTACAGGTTGTTATTACGCACGCGTCGCATGTATGTAGCCAGCATTCGTTTGGACTTCCACTAAGAATGAATGGAATGCACAGAATGCAATTTGATCACGCGCTTTAGGACCTTCTGTCCCTCGTAATCTGATCACGCGTGTTTTGACCATCTCTCACGTCAAGCACAGCGTTGGAGCAAAAGCGTTTTGACCTTCGATCGTTGTCGCCCGCACTCCGTGACCTTTGGTTATTTCTAGCGCTTGGTTCCTTAATAGTCAATGTGTCTAGATCTCCGCGGAAAGAGCTGAGAGAGGTATGTTACTTTACATCAAATATCGTAGAGTTATCTGAAGTCATTAATGCCTGTCGTTTCTTAGCCTGGATATGTGATTTATCCGGTGGATTTTGAACAACCGGGGCCAGGTTGTTTTGATGGAGAAAGGGATAAACAAGCGAAGGCCCTTTTAGTTCTACATTCCCCAAAGAGTTATACTCAGGTTAAGGGTCCCTAGCAAAAATAAACAACAACAACAGGCGATCTAATTGTGGGGACGACGCAAAGAGATTTGACAAGGAAAAACAGAGAGGGGGAAGGGGGGTGGGGTGACTTACACGTCACACTCCACTATCTCAACGCTTGGAACAGGCTAAAACAAAAAAATTCAAACCGGAAAGTTTAAAACGGATTTCACCATCAACGCGTTGTGTTACGGCTTAAAATTTCCAGGATAAGATTTCCTCTAGATGTACATACACCTGTAGCCGAGTCCGGTTGACAACGTTGACTGGTTGGTATGACTAATGAATGAAGTGAAAGACACTCATGGATAATTTTAATTCACAGTCGATTCGCTCTGCTTTGCACAATTTACTAAACCAAGACTAAAACAAGAATAGCGTCCTTTTTGCTTCATTAGCTTTACCAGACTGAGTCTACTTTCTCCATGCAAATTGAACTTACAAGACTATAAAACTTTAACTCATTAAGCCCTGACAGGGATCAGCGTCAAATTTATCCTTGTAATATCAATGCTTTGTGTAACAGAATGATCAAACAAGATGAATTTGCTTAATATTTTATACAATTCCCCTCACTACTTCTGTAGGAATTGAATAGAGGCAACAAAAGAGAATTGAAATTTTGATCGCAGGGTTTAAAGGGTTAACTGAAGTGGTAGAACAAAACATACCTTGACTTTCCAGTAACTGAATCTTCGTATGCAGTGCACCAACTGCAAGAGAAGTTCGAACAAAGGAGAAAGAGATAAATTTTATACAGGCAAAAAGACCTAAAAAGCCCCTAACCCTGCGCTCCTTTTGAAAGTTTGTAACAGATGGCCTTTTATTTAATAGACCTTTTCAATATATGTTTTTTTAACTTTTGACATAGGCAAGTTGGGGAAAATCCGTCGACACCACTGAAAAGAGCGCCTTAAGGTTAAAAAAAAAATTGCCTAGTTTGAAATCCCCCCCTCCCCTCCACCATACAAACGTCTGTAGATTTACGCAACTTTGAGGAGCTATACCTTCGCTCGCTGCAGGTGGCTCGACCCAGTATTTTTATAGGCACACCCTTCATCTTTCAATCTCTTATACTTAAACAAATCGATCTGTATTGTAAAACGATTATGACATATGGATTACACTTAGACTAAACTTTATTATGGTTTTATTTTTTGGGCGATCGAAACAACTGTCACGTGGCAATGACGTCACGTAAAAGGTCTATTTATACCCCTTGGTAGAGAAAGACTATGACTTAATGATCTAAAGTCCGCTGTGTTATTACAGTAGACTTAAAGCATTCTTGAGCAGTACTTTAACCCTTTAATGTTTCGGGCAAATCATCTGCAATCCAGTTAAAGGGGTGAAGGCCTCTTCCGGTTGACGTACGCCGCTCAAAAACCTCTTTGTTTAAGATCCCTAAAACGTTTCCTATAGAAAACAACTACTTACCAGAATACCCAGTGCTGGGAGATGGACTGTATTTATACATTCCGCCCACCCTGTCGGGCTTTATTGATGGCGGGGTATGGAGAGAATATGGCTGACTAGATGTTGGTAAAACTTGACCTGGTTTATGATAAGAAGTGATATTGTCAGTCAAAACGTGCCCGGAAATCTTCTCCAAATTAATCACGTTTGAAGCTTGGCGAGAAGGTTCTTTAACGCGCTATCTCTTTGGCACAATTGTTATATATATCACTATTTAAGTATTCATGGTTCCAAAAGAACATGTTTAAGGTGTGGTTTTAGACAATATCTATAACCACACGATTGAGGGCCAATGAAAAGTCTGAGGGAGGGGAGGGTCTAAAGGCCAAATATTTTAGCGAAAGTATGATCCTGAGCTGTACATTTTAGCGGAGCTCCCACGCGCGAAGCAGCCAAACGAAAATTTGGTTATTACGTAGCGTACGACGGCCGACCGTCCGTACACCCACTGCATGTAAGCCGATGCCAAATGTCAGGTTATTTTGGCGGGAAAGCGTATGGCCACCCGAGTCTTGTAAAGCAGAGATAATTAAAGAGTCAATAAAGACGAAAATGGGGGCGGAAAATGTTTCTGTATCCGTGTTGTCTAAAGTATTAAGCTTTGATTATTTGTCATGTCCACCAATTTGGAATAATTATAGAAAGAGAATTAAAGACAAAGAAAAAGAGAAAGTAGGGCAAGAGGCCAGCAACCTCAAAGCCAGAGAAAAAGAGCTAGAGCGAGAGAGAAAAAACAAAGGAGACATTTCTTTTTGTTGGAGGAACAACGTGAAATTTTGAAGCGGCGGTGAGAAAACGAGAAATGCTGGCGTCAACCAGGGTGAAAAGAGCGACAGTGAACACGTACGACATTCAATTCCTCCATAAAACGTGTAACAAGGAAGTTTCTGGAAGTTTCACGTTGTAGTCGTGCAAAACAACGGCAAAGAAATGTACAAAAAAAGTGTGCTACACGTGTAAAGTTGCTTTTTTTTACTAATTAGACCCATTTTTGTGTTTTCACCGTTCTCGTTGCCTTCGCTGCTTAGCATTACACGATTTCATATTTTGTTTGAACAAACTATAAATATTATCGAGAGCTTCGCTTTTAGCCCTGGCTAAATCTATATATTAGTGGGAAGTGGGACGGTGCGGGGGTTGGCGGGAGTTGGTTTGGTTGCTCAATCCAATTAACCCTTCTACGTGGAGAGGGGTATATTGATAATTAATAACTTTATTTTAGAGGTTACCATGTGTATGGTCGTCAGCTAACACTGCTGAAACTGCAGACAGCTGTTCCAGTTTGGGTGTTCTGGTGTTTGAGGTTCTCGTAGGAAATTGTTGATGAGGAGAAGAAGAAGGCAGCTTTAATGGCGTGCTTGTAAGAGTAAGTCCAGTTGTACTAGAGACTAGAACAGAAATTGCCATCACATTCTCAATAACAAGTGGGAATTACATTTAGGAGCAAAAATATTAATTATTATTGGCAGTGATGCACTGCCCCTAAGTAAATTGCCACACCCTTCCAGCAAAACTGCAGTATTTTGCCCAACATCCCTGCTAACCCTTACTGTTTTTGTTCGTTTGTTTCCTTTGTGAATTCAAGTTAACAGAGATAACTCAATATATCAGGGTTGTTAAGAACCAGGCCCTTTAAGCATGACTCATGGCCGCTTTCATTGGAAGCAAAAGGAAATAGTAGTAAACAATTTACTTCCTTAAGCTGTTTCATTTGCTACGCCAACAGTGTAATTGCATATACCCAGCAACTTAAAATTGTTTAAGTGACAGTCCTGCTGCACACATGTACATGTACATACTTACCCAGAGTTTTAGAGTGACCTAGATCAGACAGAGGAAATCCTTCTTTGCCAGACATGCCAGTACTGCTGAGTATAGTAGATCTTGTCGGCAGCTCGTGGTACTCGGTGCGACTGGACATAATTGAGGACACCTCGGATTGGTTGTCTGGAATGTCATCTATGTCCTTGACAGGTTCCTCTTCTCCATTCACCGTATGAATCTAATTGTTTAATCATAATCAATAGTTGTCAATTAGAGTGATGGCCTGAGAAAACAGCCAACATTTCATGAAGCCACCACTGGTCTCGGATAATCCAGGAGAGACTCCTGATTTTGAACCATTTCTCCCGGTCTCCAGATTAGAGTCTGAAATCTCCCGCATAATTGCTGAGGTTTGCAATTTCTTGTAGAGTTGACTTTCTGTCGACTTTTAACATCGAACATTTCCTCACAAACTTCAGCATGCCATTGTAATATAAGAAGTAATGTGATTGGTGGGAAGCATAGTTATTAGAGGAGACTGGTTATGAAAAGCAGCAAACATCAATGATAAAAACAACAGTGCTGCAGTTTATGTTGGAAGCACCCTGAAAGTGCACAATCCTTTGTTTTCTGTTGGCAAATTGTTACGGAATAAATTAATGCAACCTTTTTATTGGTCAATACAATCAAAATGATAGGAATTCTTTTGAACGTTGTGCACTTTCAGGTCCACAAAAACATATAACAAAGGAGTCTGACGGGTTTCACAACCATTCCACTCAATTAACTATGGTGGGAAGTAAACCAATCAGGTACAAAATTAATGTTGCAATTTTAAAAACATCTTTTTCACATTGTTTTTGCACAAATGAAGTCATGTTTCGTGCATTATGATGTCATCTATTATCCCCTTCCTGTCATTTCTCAATATTTGAAGATGGGGGGGTTGACAGCCCTGTCCATGCGTGCAAGCTAGAGCTCGGAGAAATTTTGGCAGTCACGTGACTGTGTGTCTGTCCATCCACCTGTCACAGGGACACCAATGTCCAATCTCACCCTTTCTAGCTAGTGTGGGAGCCTGCAACCTAATATTGCACCTCCATGTTGTGATCAATTGACAGCTGTCAAAAAAGGATGTCCACTGACCAGTATCACATGACCATGTCACCGGCTCAGGTGTCTCCCCATTATTTTTTTAAATTCATCCACTGACATAGTTACTGGTAGTTTTCAATTGTTCGCAGGCTCAGCTCCAAGTGGATTTCTTTGAGATGGTGACAAGTTAATTGTTTAAGCAAATTATAAATTTATTAATGGAAGCTTCACTTTTAGTCTTGGCTAAATGTATATATTGTTGATATTATTCCATGGTCCCAAATCTGTGCAGCACAGTTTAGTAATGCATGTACTCACATTTGACAACGGAGGAATGTGTACTTTTCCAGACATCATATTCCCATGTGAGTTCAGCACATTATGGAGTTCTTTGATTGAGCCTTCATGGGACTAAAATTAGAAATAGCAAAATAAATGAGATGCGTGTCACACATTAATCATTTAGAACATGTACTCATCAGAAGTGATCTAGCTTGCATAGTAATTCAGTGTTCTCCCCAAATTTTAGCTCAGCAGCGGTGAGGGACCATTCCTGACCGGTAAGGCCAAAAAATCCTGTCAACAAATTGACTGAAAACAATTTTAAACACCCTCAAAACTAAAAAAAATTACGAATGAAGGCTGCCGTTGCCACTACGGTCAATTTAGTAACACAATTAAGTCACGAAAGTCGTGAACTTTTCCTGCTGGTCAAGAAAGTCTAGAACTGGGACAGAAGCCCACGAAAAAATATTGTTAGTCAGAGAAAGTAGCCGTGTATACAGTGGAACCCTGCCTTACAGCCATCTCGGTTAAATGCAGTCACCTTTTTATTACGGCCAAATGTTTTTGGCCCATTTATGAATGGGACTGTACTTTTATTCCCCGTTTACTTCTTTTCTTGTGAGGATCGACTTGGATCACAATTTGCGTATTCAAGTTTTGAAACAACTTATTTAATTTTAGCAACACTTCAAGTGGTTGCAGGCAGTTAGATGTGTTGCTTCAGTTAGTAAATTTTACCCATTACCGCCTGATAAGGAGAACACTGGTAATTGAAATACATCACAATATCATAATTTATTTTTTTTCTCCTGATGAAGGCAGCATTGCTAAAAATTTTATTGTCATTCTGTACTTTTAAAAATTACCGGCATTTAACTTATTTCTATTTTCTTATTTTCTCAAGGCCATGGTGATTTTTTTACTAAAAGCACAAAATCAATTGCCTCACTATTTTTTTGGTTGTGGGCAGGGTTCGCAAATACGCCAAATTTGGCGTATTTTACGCCAAAATTTTTCTGATGACTCCACAGAGGTTACGGAGGGAGTCACTTCGACTCCAGAAATTTTCAGTAACAAAAACAGTTTTGTCCTTACCTTTTTCGCAACAAATACAATTTACGTTAATGATAAACGTTTTAAACCTTATTTAAATCATCAAAATTAAAGAATTACACTGCACGACAAAACGGGAAGGGGGTAAATTACGATCAAAGTTTACTCGATGACCACCATCATGGATTTGAGCTTTCCAGGTGGTCCGCCACAGCTACTTCATGTATCCCTCACAACAGTGTATACATGCCAGGACCACGTGCTGGAAAGTCTGAAAATGGCTTTTTTCGTTGTGAAACTTGACTCCAAATATTCCAAAATGACTCCAAAATTTGAGAAGCAGAAGTCACAGTGACTCCACTCATCAATAAAATTTGCAAACCCTGGTTGTGGGATAAGGTTCAGACTAACAATAGCCCTGTCCCCCGAAATGGAGGTTTTGCATGGGTCCAATCCAGGGTGCAAGAAAGTCAGTTTTACAGGTTGTTCATTGGGAAACCTGTAGCTACAACCAGTTGCAAAAGTACTCGAGACACTGTATCTTATTTTGGCTTAAACGGCCTGCCCCTGATCTTGTGCTTGTGATCCCTCCTCCACCCGTTATCAAGTAAATATCTTATTTCGGTAATTAATACCGAGGTATCATGTGCCATAAATTTCAACCAATATATATTGTTGATGAATTTAAAGCTTGAGATATGTTAACCGACAACAGCTTATAACAACATTAAACTGTAGACTAATAAAACAAAGTCACCTAGTTTTAATTTAAGAAATGTCAGGTCTTGTGTATTCTTTATAAGAAGAATACTGAAAGCCTGCAAAATTATTAATCACCACTGTCTTTTAAAAAAATGACAAAATACAAACATTACAAGAAACATTTTTGTCCAACGCTGTCCACGTTTTAATATATAAACCTATTATTATAAAAGAAGCTGTTCAAAATAGAGACGGTTATTGATCAACGAAAGAAAAAACGTTTACATGTTTTATATGTTTATATGTTTTATAAAATCAAATGTAAGCTTGCATATTTCATACATAAACAACAGATCGAATGAATTCTGAAAAGATTCAGTCACAATGGTAATAGGATTATGACCCAAGCGACTTTCGTTTAGGTAGTATGATATACAGTATCGAATACGAAAATTGGATATATACAGCTGTTGTTCAGCAAACAACGGTAAAGGTAGGTAATAACGCAAACCATCTCTTTGAATATTTTAAATTCAATTCCGCTCCATGCAGTTTCGCCCGTGACTATTATTATTTCCGTGTCCGTAACATCACAGATCACGATTTTGCAGACAGCGATAACAGGGTCTTCTCCAAGATATAAGTTAGACATATTTAAGCTTTCATTAAAAAAAAAGAATTCGTGGTGGTCAAACATAGAAAAATTCGATTTGTGCGAATGGCATGTTTTGGAGCAGAGTAAACAATATTGGAATGTACACAAGATCGACGCGAAGAAGTTCGCGAACGTTTGATCGAGGTCGAAACTTAAATCTTGATCACAGTCTCCTTTCACGATCACTCAACGAAATATTCAAACATAAAAATAAAACCTGCTAATTTACAGACAATGACTAAAAAGGTTATAGTTGTTTCAAAGGCCGTGATAATTATGATGTAGAACAAGGCCGGCCTTACTGAAGTAGAAATTCAATTTTCTCGGAAAATATGATTTTACCTTTAGCACGTCCATTATCACTTTTAACGTTGTTGCCACACTGTCATCGTAAACTTCAGGCACCTTAGCCCCAGAAAAAGCGTCTCGGGACATTTTTGAATCGGATCAAGCGGTTGTCGTCGTGCAGAGAACGATTGTATCGTTAATAACAATCATTTGAATAACATGGTTTGTTTGCATTCATCTTCAAATATGGCGCCTTTGTTCGCGACCTCGCAACCGTGACCTCTGCATTTCTCTAGGGAGGGGAGAGGAGTCACGATAAGTAGTTTTAAAAATACGTCGGTAATGGTCCAACGGCGACTAAGCAATTAACCTGTTAGGCTAGATTTTGCCAGTTGGGCCCCCTCTTTACAAGAACCTGTTAAGCTTAAAATTTGAAACAAGTTCTTACTTTCTAAAATGTATAAACATTCCGGTATTCTCTTTGATGACATATAGGTGCCTTGTCACTCTAACTACAGTGTGATGGCATGCAGATTTTATACAAGCCAGCCACTAACTATGCTATTAGCTACAATGGCTTGATTTTTTTCTTCTGAAAATAAGAACCTGACGTAAGAACCTGTTAAGGCTAACTTGGGAAAATGCGGTTTCTTAATTAGTCGCGTGTTTTTACTGTATTTGAAATGACTGTCGCTTTAAACCTCGACTTACTTTATAAGTGTATGTCTTTTCCTTTTCCATAACTTACAAGATAAAAAATGATTGCCACTTGCGAAGTAATAACCAACAAGTGAACCATGTATTTACCCTACAAAATTTTTCGTAACAAAATTTTTCAGCCATTTTGTTAAAATAGCTTTTGCAGTGATTAAAACTAAGTAGTGTCAAATAATTATAGTCTTTTTTTTTTTTTTGTTATCAAATACTGTATAATTCAACAAATAATCAGGTTTTACAAAAATTAAACTCCCGAGCCTGGGTTCTTTAGAAAGGTGTAAATTAATAAAATTAAAGCGAAAAATATCATATTTTTCTCTGTTAAAATATTTTGTTACCATGCAATTAGCTAATGTAAAGCAAATAAAAGCAGGTGACAGTTACTTCCTCAGTGTTCTAAAATTAAAAAGCAAGTTTTTATTTGGCAATTTCAGCTCTCTACATTGTATGTTTGCCTTTAGTAAGTGAAATACTACCAAATTTCCCTTTCATCACTATTTTTTCTTTCTTTTTTTCTCTTTTTTTTTTGTTAATGTTGGATAGCGAAGATGAACTAAGGAAGACATAGGAATGAAAGAAAAAAAAATGTTTGACCATGAGCTTACAAAATTCATTAACTGCTTGTCTTTCAAAAAATCTGGGTGAATAGAACATCCAAATTATCGCCCCAGAGCCACGTTGATAAATAAAAAGGACGGGTTATGGAGACGATGATACACGATAGGGGTAATACAGAGGGAATGAGTCTCGTTAAATTAAAGAGCAGTGTTAATATATTCTTCTCAAGAGGAAAACAAAATATGGTTTTATTTGTTTCTTCTGAAACGGAAACAGCTCTACATGTACAACTTGTGTTTGCTAAAATAAGCAAATAAATACCTCGACAGTTTCTTCTTAAACTTCCTCATTTATTAAGTAAGCGAAGATCATGAAATCCGTCTTTCTTTCTTTTTTTTCTAGGAAAATAGTTGTTATTGTTAAGGCATTTATTTGACAAATTTTGTTAAAAATTTTTGTGTCCTTATGCCAGTAGCAGGAGTATATAGTTCGACTAAATTGATATAAATACAACAAATCTCAAGCTTATAAGTAGGGCTTTATTTTGCGGATACTGCATGGCGTTCCGCATTACATGTCTTCGTCAATATAAATATCTTTAATCGCTTTTTGAACGTTGGCTTATTAGTCCTGAAATCTTGTTAAAAGAGTTGAGGTTGGCTTGGGACTCGCGAGGAAAAAGAAATCTGCTTTGTTAGCTGAAACGCGGTATGGGAACAATTATATGCTAAGCAAATATCCCTTAACGTACAGTTTCTTGTTAGTCCTCACCTAAGAGCAAGCGAGGAGCATAAATATTGCATTTTCAGAAAATCGCGTTGCCATTATTAAATTATTAAAAGGCTGTTTAAAGGATTTGTTGTTTTTCTATTGGTCACAGAAAAAAAAATGGAAATTTTCTTCAGAAATATTCAGTTTGACTAAATTAATATGCAAATTCGTATGCTTGTTTATGTTTCATCTGAAGGTTATTCCTTCATCGAATCACTTTTTTCATGGACATTTTATTCCAAAACCTAAGAACTGTGGCCAATTGCGATGAAAAGAATATTTATTGCTTCAGTATGTTTAACTTAAAAGGTAGACTATCGCGAAAATGGGCGTATCCATGATCTTCAAAACTTAGGTGAGTCTTGCTGACTAATTACGTGTAAATATGTTATTTCGGTTAAACTTAGTAATCAGTTAAGACATGTATCAGCAGTTTAGAAGTTATAGACTGAGAATGACGATAAAGAATAAAAAGGGGCACCCAACGACCGCTTTCTGCAAAATATCTGTTCGGAGAAGCAAATTTCATCTAGAATTTTGTATTACTTGAGGACGTCAAAAAATTTTTAGATCACCGTCATTCCACTCCTGTACAATTTCTGAAGCTTATCTAATAAATTCCGTACGATTTTCTGAAGTTTAATTTTTTACATTTCACTGCCCAGGTTAGGCTATTTTTAGTACAAAATAGGAAACCTAAAATTTTTGAATTCAAAAATGTGATGGAGAGAGAAATCAGAAAAATTCTCACTTTCGTAATATGTTACACTGCATCTAAAATTTCCGGAAAAATAACACTAAAGCCCTTGTAATCTCGAAAAGACTTAGGTTACCCTTGGATGACCGAACAGATACAAATTTTATAGCGCCGCTTAGAATGCATTTCTGGAGATCTAAAAATACTCTGGATAGCCTAAAGAACAGTTTTCAATATATTTAGGAGGAAAACGTCATTGGGTGTCCCTGAATAAAAGAGATCTAGAAAAAAATGATGAAACAGTACATGATCTGTTCATAAAGATCAACTCATTAAAACCATACTGATTGTCGGCGATCGATGTTGACGAAAACTGTTCGAACCTCTGTCTTTGATGACGGGAAGGTTTATACTAGTTGTGCACAAGAATTTGGTTTCGCCGGTTTAAGGTATATATCATCCACCGTAAATAATCGATAACTTTTCGAAATTTTCAATTTTTAGATGATTTCAGAAAGAACTCGTTGAGAAATTTTTTCAAAAAGAAAATCCAGAACAAAATGACATTTCTGCGGTGACTTAACTTTCGATCGTGAAATTATTCTTCGATGTTTATTAGACTGTAAATTGATTGTTGACTCGTTCTGTCATACATGGAACGACACCAGTCAAGTGATAATCACGCAATCACTGCTATTCGTAGTTTACACATTCAATCGTTTCTTTTTTGTTAAATTGGTTTCATTTAAATGCTTCCAAAAAGGGGGAAAAGATCCTTTTTGTCCAGTTTGTTTTTGTGTTCATCTCACCAAGACGAAAATAACTACTCTTCTCCAACTGTTTACAATAGCAAGAGAAACGTTTTCCTGTTATGTCCAAAAACTGTCACTTCGGTGGTATGCATCAACCATGACAGCTTTGGTAATATAATCTGAGTATAATCTTGTTACAGGCCAGATCCCGCAAAAATTATGTTTTCCCTTATCCTCAAAATGAAAATCGGGCCAAGTTGAGCGTACATTTTAAACTACAAGTCGGCAACCCGTCAATTTTGGCTAACTTACTTTCAGATAGTTGTTCTAAAAAACCGTGTCTGCGAATTTGATTTATTTTTTGTTGTTGTTGTTGTTTTGGCGGTATAGTATTTTTTTCCCACAGGTTATGCTAACGACTTGTTATCCCTGACTTCATATGCTTTTTACAAAAAAAAAAATAAACAAGAAGAAAGAAGAAAGAAACGTGTATGTCAAAAATACTGAGATACGACTTATGATACTGGAATGACTTTCATTCCGGAATGAGTTTCATTCCAGCTCAGAGTGAATTTCGTACAGTAAACGCGTTAGGGCTACAAGCGCTAGCGCGATCCTCGCAAAGACGGTACTGAAGGTGGGATGATACCTTAAATTATTAACTTCCAGTCCCCGATCCCAATACCCTGTTAGCAGAGTCGCTTCAATCTTTCCTAAGAAAGAGATTCTTCCCAGCCTTCCTCTTCCCGACTTACCTAGGAAGATCGAAAGAGACTCTATTCGCAGGGTACGATCCCAAAGGTTCTAAACGCTCAGCAGCTTTGACAAAAAAATGGAAAGCAAATACCGAATGGCAGAAGTCCATCCATTCCGTTTACGAAAAGTACAACGAAATATAGGCATACGGAGAAAAAAAATTAAGATCCATTTTTTTCCAAACGGCAGAGTGTACGTAAGGAAAAAAGCACATTGAATGTGATCTCGAGATTCGTCTTTTTGACGGTCTTTTTTTCTGTTGAAAAAGAATGTCCTTGCCTTTAATACCCGTTTATTTCAATGCTTAAGAATTCCATTGCATTATTTCTTTAGTGCACATAATTTGTCAAGTGTCTGCTCAAAGTTGACGTGTTGAAATAAATCGTTTCCATTGCACTTTTGAAAGCTTTTGAAGTCGTGGTTGGTGTTATATCAATGCCAGCTTTCGAATACTCACGCAGACTTTTAGGATAAAGACGGAGCTCCATATACAAAGAATATATACACGGACTTTTAATATCTCAGAAAACGACGCCCGCTCACTTTTAATTTCTTATAATAATTTCATACCAGTTTATTACCATTTTTGCAATCTTAAGTTTTTTTACAATATTTTTTAAAACAATGGCTTCCGCTGTTATCAATACAAAATAACATTTGTCGAGCAATGGCTTCCGTTGTTACGAATCCCAACAAATTAAAACTTGTTGAGCTAAACCGAACGAAATATTCTGACAACAGGAAGCTAGTAAACAGTATCCGAAAAATTTTCAAGTTTTGTCAACACAATGGCCAAGCTTGCATAAAAGAACCCGCTTTGACCCTAGCTTCATCAATCGGCTGAGGTTCTAGCTTGAGCTCGAAACAAAAAAATTAGAAAGCGTCGACATTTTGGAATCATAATGGCTCGCTTGATGCTGTTACTTTTGCTGATAGCCCCATTGACTCTTCCCACTTACGCAGACAGCGGGCAAAAGGTAATTAAGTTAAAAATATATATTGCGTTTAGTTTTCGCCGAGACACTTTAAAGTGACCTTTCGGCCCTTTCTGTCTTATTGAACGCCATGGCGTTTACGTTCCTACTAAATATTTTATCCTGCGGCCTGTTCGGGCTGCACTATCGATGCTTAATGAACACGTTTTTGTCAGCCGAGCAAATCTAAATATTATGCCTTTAAAGGGTGATGTGAAATGTAGGGTATCCATTTACACTATAGCGAAAGTAATGACTCTGAAGTATTGGTGGTAATATAAACTAGACGTAGTTAATCGATAAACCGATAATCGATAGTAATTGATAGTAATCGATATCAATCATCGATAAATATTGATTTCCGATATCGATCGATAGAAATCGGTAAAGAAAAAAGTTGTGACTTCGACTAATATTTATGATTTTCCGATGGAAATCGATAATTATTTTTATCGATTGTTATCGATTTTGTTAATCGATAATAATCAATAAATTATTTTTTCTCTTTGACTACGATTTCTATCGATTTCCGATATCAATTGATATTAATCGGGTGATTAAATCGATTAATATCGATGATATCGATTGATTTCCGATATCGATTTTTATCGATAAACTACGTCTGGTATAAATACTACTGACGAAGATACTCATTTTAATCAATTTGCTACACATGTGTTTTTCGCAGACCTATACATTCAAGGTATCCAAAGATATGTACGAGAGTATCAAAGTTGATGCCAACAAGGAATCCGAGACCTTTTCTCAGAGTTTTGCGTCGTCAGGCAAAAAGGAAGGAGACTTTGTCTACGACTTTAACAGGGTCAGTAACTAACATAAAAGATCAAACAAGTCAAACTCATCTAAATTTGGAGTCTTTTTTTTGTTTTGACAAAAAACTGAGCTCATTTTTTTATGCGATTTAAATATTTCGTTTCTCCGACTTTTTGGCTTAAAAACTTGAAATTAAAAAAGAGAATAAAAGGTTAAAAATCCGAAATTATCAGTGCACAGTTTTGCGAAAACGTCTCTGAAATGGCAACAAAACAGTATTTTTATTTCTTTATTTTTTGTTTGTTTCTGACGAGAACATTAAGCTGTTTTAGATAGTCCCGCATTTTTGCATCAAAATTTCGGTGCACAAACCATTCCAGGACATTTCTCCAAAACTTTTCAAACCGCTCAGTGTACGACCAAAACTATAAGGAGGGCTTAAAAGCAAGAGAATGATATGTACATTTTCCAAGGCTGAAGGCCAAGCTCGCGTTGATAAATTTTTGATTTACTTCAAACAATAAACTTGTAACTACATGTATTGGATGTAAACCACTTGGAGTTGAGCCTGCAGTCAGCTGAAAGGTAGTAACTTATTAGCGGATAACTAAAAAAAAAAACGCAACCTCGATAGGTCGGTATCTGAACCCGCGATACGGTCATGTGATACTGATCAGCGGATACCCTGTTTTTGACAGCTGTCAACTCATCACCACATGGATGTGCATTATCAGGTTGTAAGTTCTTACACTAGCCATAAGTGTGAGATTTCACGTTGGTTGCCCTCTGGTACGGACGGACGGACGGACGGACGTACGGTCACCTAACTACCCAAATTTTACAGGTGGATAGATCCCCAAATTTACTTAGCTGTGGTGCTCCGCTCGTGCGCGCTATAGTGGAGTTCCTCTACAAAAAAATCTCTTGATTAGCCTATACAGTATCCTGTAATATCAGTTCGCTGCCAGGGTATTGAAGAGCGAAAGAAAAATTTGAAACTTTTAAACTATTACTTTAATTTGTTTTGTTGGTTTTGTTCAATCGGATAACGGTTACTTTCGATATAATTACTTATTTGTCTATTGATCCTTGCTTCGTATTGGCTTGAATTTACTGCAGAACTTAACGATGATTCGATTGCCAAAGGCAAAGGGCTGCTTTTTAAGATACTCCATTGGGAACGTTCCTCGACCTGCTGACTTGCTGAAACAATTACAATTGGTAAGTGTCTGAGGACCTATGACAAACGTCGTTAAAATTAGTGTTTGGCTGAATTAATCTCTTAACCAACCTGTAGGATGCGCGCGCAATGCATGATTATACCAAGAGCAACATCATAACTGTGTGTTTATTCCCTTCAACATTCGGAATAATCTCGGTACATGTAAGCGTTATCAACCTCGGTCTTCGGCTCGGCTGATAACATTTTTCTTGACCTTGAGTATTCTGGAAATCACCACGTCCAAAAATTGTTTATAATCACTTTTACCAACAACATTCGAGAGATTCGCTAAAGTTATTTATTTATTCCTTTATTAAAACTTGCTGATCCGTGCAACCTTTTGATAACTGTTCCTGCACTCGAAATCATTTATTTTTCACGCTGGTTTCCATCATCTACAGGTGCAGAAAAGTACCGATTCTAAAATGACCACTACGTCTGAGGAAAATTTCAAGGTTGTTGGCAAACTGAGAGACCGTTCGGACTTGAGCGACGAGATGAAGGATCTATGCGCAAAGTTGCCAATTTACCGAATCCGGAAGTTGGAAAAGAAACAGAATGACGACGCTTCTCAAATGGAAGACGATGTGGAACAGTCCGATAAAGTAGATGATGCACCAGAGAGGGTGGCTAGAGGTAATAAAATGGTTAAATGGATATCAAGTTCTTGAAGAAGCTATAACAACTTAACAGATCGCTGTCAACAGCATGAAAAGTTTGGATGGCCTTACAATACTATAAGAACGAACCATGTGCCATCTTCACTTTCTTTAAAGAACCCTATGCTGAAAGCTATTTTAATTTAAAACAGATTCAACAAAATCAGAAACATGAATAACTTTTCCATAGTTTTAAGCCAACTTTTGTGTTTTCAATCTTAAACCATGGCCCGTCCACACCTATTGATCCGAGCAGAGGAAAACGCATACTAATATTTCCGTTTATTCAGTTTGGTTGTTCCCCGTTTGGATTCACCCATCGACAAGAATACGCTGCTTCAATCAACATTTGCTAACTGCTTGCTTCTTCAATCAATGGCCAGGCCTGCCTAATATGTTTAAAATTAAATTACCCGGAAAGGCTTATCGGACAGCTATGGATGGATAATTCGTTTACCCAACCATTTACAGGCGAAAAATAGTAACCCTGATCAGCTTCACAGTTCTGCCGGTGTGTTGTCCTACTAGGCACTTGTAAGCTTAGGACGAATTAACCTAAAACCGTCTTGCACGAGGCCAATGAGTCGAACAACAGGTTGTTGTTGTCCACCACCCGAGTTTAAATTTGCAAGTTCTCTTTTTAGCCTAAACTCCAGTTTTTGACGTAGTTGAATTTAAAAATATCCAGTTTCAATCGTCTAGTACGAATCGGATTTTAAAAAGAGAACGATTCAGCGACTTCTAAAAGATACGGTTTCGGCCAGGGGGATTCACTGGTTTCACAGGGCCTATTCGTGTAAAAAAAAAACTTTTTAAAAAAATATCCGGAATCATGTTGACGGGCCTTAAACAACTTCTTAAAAGTGTTTAAAATTTTGTGGAACACAAAGCGTCGTATCAACTCTGTGTATCAGGGCATGACCCTGGTAGTGGTTGTCCTTTATCTATTAGCCACTCACTGTACAAGAATTATTCACGCATCTCACAATATTTTAAAAAATGGACACGTCTGTCTTTATAACGACTGACTACCCTAATTCGAAGCTGCTCATCAGTTTCGGATTTGAATAACCTGTAATAGTTATAACCTTTTGTGCCTATAGGCCTCGTCCGGAAATGGGTGTGCAGACGAGTTTGTAAACACATACGCGCATGCGTCAAAGTCCCAAGAATTAGCTGCAGTTGGAGAGGCTGTAAGGCTTCCTGGCGCTGGAACTGCTGGATCGTAAAGATTATATGCCCCTATACCTGCTACTGGGCTTTGATCAAGCTTGGCTAAAGATGTTTTTACACGATCATCTAAACAAGTGGCCGCGTAAAGTAAAGCGTTAATACATAAAGTTTTCATGAGATATATTTACACCCTGTGGACGGTTTGTATAAGTTATTTGCATACTAGGCAAATTGTCGAGAAGATCTTCTGACGGTGCTGGAACTCAGTTTTCAGGATGACTTTGGTGTAGACTGAGGACTCGCAGGTTTTAAATAATATCACTATAATGTAAGAGGGATTTTGAATTAAAAATAAAGGTAAATGCCACTTTTTTCATGCATATACGCCTCCGTTTGTTGTTTCTTAAGACGTGGTGAAGAGGGGCGTGTCAAAGGGTATTGCCATGCTCCGCTTTCATTGATCTGAAACTGGATAATGTGTAACCATTTTTTTTTTCTTGTCGTATTATATTTGTGGAGACCTTTCGATTCGAGAACGGAGAAAAGTACGATCACGAGATTAGAATGAAGGCTTTTACGCGTATTCTCAACAAATAGACATCCCGGAAACCTTCATTGTTCTTTTAATTCACCAGAAGAGTCAGCACTGTTATCTTAATTGAAGGAGGTTAAGCCTCCTCCCGATCGCAAAAAGATAAACTTCTAACATTTGATAACTTGTTTCCGCCACAACGACATTCTCGCTGAAACTCGTAATAGAATGCTGACGGCTATCACATTTACCGGCCAAAATGACGCCGGTTCATGAGCGTCAAATACTTTGTTTTGGGAAAAACTCGTACTCTTAGTCGTCCTCGTCCCAAAAGCTATTAGGGTCTCTAGTATAGCCGCAGGACAGACCTATTGTGTTTCGTCGCTCTCTCGCGGTCACCGCTTCCCTAGCTTTACAGCCATGTCGAATTCAGTTTCCTAATACAATTAATTTTGATTTCATCACGCCCCTCCGTTTGAGAAGGATGGGATAAGAGCAAGTTGCACATTAGAATTTATGCAACTTCTTCTTCAAAGAAAATCAATTGTATTGTCTACCTGACAGCTCGGCCGGAGGAAAGGGATGGAAAAAGAAAACTTTCAACAAAGTGTACAGCTAGTCCATTCTCGATAACTCGAATCCTCTCTAATTCAAGCCATGCGCTAATTCGAACCATGTAAAATTGATGTCCTTTTCTGAATTTCTAGCCTCCTACGCAGACGTTCTTACGCTTAGTGCGCAGTCATGTGACAAGGTGCTCACGTTGGTGATTAGTAGAACTTTCTTAGCACTCAGGAGAGAAGGACACTTTTGTTCCTGATCACCAACATTGGGCGCCGTGACGTCAAGCGTAAACCAGCAATAGGCCATGGGTTCGATTTCCAGGGTCGGACCACTACTAAGGGTCTTAAAATAACTGAGGAATGCACTTATGTCCAAAAATGCACGCAACGGCGAAAATGAGGATTGGTGAAAATTCAAATGGGATGTTAAGAGGCGCCCAGTTACTTCAATAATTGACGAAAAGGGCAAATTTGACAAAAATGGCAAATCTGGGGAAAATGGGGCATTTGGCGAACATTTGCCAGAGGGTTGGCGAAAATTCAAATGAGATATCAAGCTGAAAGGCCCCCTGTTGAAACTTATTTGACCAAGTTTTAGCAGACGGATTTTTAGATAATCAATAATATGATTTTTCTGTAATTATTAAATGTGTCACAAAATTTTCCTTTCATTTTCTTTTCCTTTCCTTCCATTTTAAATTCCTCATCATTTAAAATACGCTAAAAGTGAAAATTGTGCCAAATATCACAAAATTTTAATGAGAAGATTATGAGAAATCGTCTTCCGTGTACATTGCTTTTTCGCCGCCACGTTTATTTGTCTAATTTCAAACACGCGCCGTCACGCGAGTTAACACTGACCGCCCTCAAAACTGAGTTAAGCCACCTTAAAATGACCTAAAATAATAAAAACTCCTCAACTTTTGTACCTATACGGTCTAGCAAAAAGATGGGTGTGTAGACGAATTTGGAAAAAGAAACGTACACGCATCAGAGTCCTAATGGAGGGTCCCCAATACGGTTCTTCAATCCCGTAATCCCGACCCAAAAGTTCGTGCAATCTCGTAATTCCGAGGGTTACTTCGGGCATTCTAACTCCCGCGCATACTTTCAATGCCGAATCTTGCCCGTTTTTGCTTCAATATTGGGTTTGAAACAAAGTTGGGTAAAGCATGAGTTTACAGATTATCTCCCCAAGGACTTGGCCACGCTAAATAAAATGCTTATTTAGAAAGGTTTGGATAAATTTTTCCACCCCCTGAGGTTTTTTAAGTTTTTTTTTCTCCCATAGACGATAAAACATCAGCACCCGACGTTTTCAGTAGCTGTTCATTTATCCCTATCGCGCATTCTGAGACAAGTGTAGTGATGGTCAGTTGCTATGGTTACGAGACATGACGTCATAAGTAGCAGGTGATCAAGCCTTTTTTGAGTGAAAATGCATGTCTTTCCAACTTCTTTCAACAATAAAAGTAAAGCTTGTGGATGAAATGATGCAAAGAGCATATTCATGTGTTATTTCACATGTAAAGCACAAAACACTACCATTTGTCGCGGTTTTAACCTGATTTCTAATTCTCATACAGTCAGCCGTTGGAGGTGTAAGCACTCGCTATCGCTCCTTTCCTTTTATAAAATTAGCTAAAAGCGACAGAATGTATTAGTATTTACCGCAGTGAATAGCAATTTTCGCGCGTTTTTTTGATTGGCTCCCGTAACTCGGAATATTCTTAATGACTATTCACTGTTTTGCGATCAGAGCCAACGTGGAGTCTCGTTTCGAGGCACTTATTTGAGCGATAAATGAAGCAGTCGTACAAAAAAAAAACCCAGAAAGCGACGAACTGTGGCTTGTGGGTGTTTACTGGTAGGTAGGAAATAATTTTCTTACTGAATTTGCAACAAAATCATAAAATATGATCCCAGGAATACTGTCAATTGAGGCGTAAACAAACTCTTAACTAAGTGACGTCTTGTATTTACAAAAAGATACTTTTTCTTATTTTTATCCAACTGATTTGGTAAATTCTAAAACCACTATCCCCCTCAGGGTCGGTTTATAGCGCTAGATATATACCTCGACGCTTTGCGTTTCGGTCATTACCACTATTCACCTCCACTTCGGGGTATAGTTGTATTATTATTTTTAAGGGAAAAAGTAATAGTATTTCATACAAATTTGAAAAAAAGTAACCATAAACAAAAAATAAAAAATAAAATTATTTTTCGC